TAGAATCCGTGCTGCCCTACCACGGCCGTTCTACAGCCAGGAGTCATGCTGGTGGACCAAGTAGTCGAGCGCCCGCTCATTCCCCAAACGCCATCGAGCGTTTGCTGTCGTTCCAACGACACGATCCCTTGTCCGCCCTGGTTCACACATGCTTCGCCAACTCGGCTGGTCCTGATAGCGCCGAGGATCGACGTCGAACCGAGATATGGGGCACAGCTCTAGCAAGACTAATCACTGAATCCAAGGCCAGCAGCGAGCCCATGCTGATTTCTGTTCTTAATGTCTGGACGGCCATGCGGGATTGGTCCGGGAAGTCTAACATGGAATGGTACCTGATGAAGATACTCGAGGATGGTGCCTTTCTCTTGGACAAGGCCGAGGACCAACACGGTACCAGGTTCAATCTCGCCGACTGGACGGCCAAGGACAGCATTGCGGCTGAGGAGTTCTACGATCGGGCCGTTAACGAGCTTTTCGAGATCATTGACGACGAGGATGCGACTGGTATTCCCGAAGGGCTCATCGAGCTGGGCAACGCCATTTTGAAGAAGCTTGATTCCAAGCTCGTCGATGGTACCCGGAATTGGTTTGTTTACAAGTGGCTCTTCTCTGTTTTCCTCCTTGGTGTTGTTATCCACCCGGAAAGCCACGGACTCATGGGCGATTACCACATCACCGAGTATGGCCGGCAGAAGATCCTCAAGCAGGTCGCCATGCGAGCACAGCAGCTTGTAGTCGAGGTGACCTGGAACAAGAAGGGAACGGTCTCGACCCCGCCCAAAATTCAAGGACACGTGGAGAGCATCCTGAATCGTTTCAAACGAAACCGTTCCCAGAGACCTCCAGCGAAGCTCCTCCCGGCCCGCTCAATCACATCACTTCGAGAAACAGTCGAGGTTCATCCTTATCTCGTGGTGAGTCCGGCAGATCTAGTCACTCTCGTCAACGCCTTGTTCCCGGAGCGACGGCCTATGTCAGCCCAGTCCAGCGGGCTTAGATCCGGAGCGCCTTCCATCTCTGGGTTCTCGGCAATCTCACAGCCCATCTCGATGGGCGCCGCGCGGAGCAATTTCGACACGGCATCGATCCTTAGCACCAGTGCCTCGTCTGTTCTTAGTGACGCTACAACTTCCAGAGAAACAAATTTGGATGATCAAAGGACCGGCTCGCCTCAGCGGTACTCGCCGCCCGTATTGGATCCACTGGCTCAGCGACGTCTTAGTAACTATGAGGACGACGGGTATCGTCTTCGTTTTGCTCTCCGCGAAATGGGCACCCAGGTCGGCATGGATGTTGTCCAAGGCTCATGTCATCCATGTGCCGAACGATGGGCCGTGCTGTTCATCTCAGCAGATGGCAATAGCCTGTCAAGCCAGATGACTTACGACCCAGACGAAGATGTCGAAGACGAGGACCACTCCTCCACCAGCGAGACTGACGATGACGAGATTGATGAGAAGCCTGAACTCGATAAAGACTACCACCAATTGCGAGATTCGATCCTCAAGCTTGTCGAGGATTTTGAGATCCCAGCTAGCATTGAGCCGGAGGCAACAAGGGCTCAGTTCAGCAACCGGGCGACTGGCATCAAAAAGTACCGATCCAAGAACAAGATCATCACCGCTGAAAAGTCATCTCCAAGCAGAAACCCCTACCGCAGACGCGACGCTGAGGCACAAGCGAGTGCCACGGCTGATGACTCGCAACCCAAGGAAGATTCACCGAAAACGACGGCAGAGAAGACAGAGGATGCAGATCCGGAGCCGTCCTCAGTTCTCATTGCGATGCTTACAGCTGCCTCGGCTCAGTCGCGAGCGCAAGCTGACTTTGTATCAGCTCACCTCTACTGGAAGACACTACAGCAACTAAATGCACTCAGCTCAGGGTCGCTGAGACGAAACGGGTTTGCCATACTTCTAAACATTTTCTCCCGAGGGCCTCGCGATTCAATCCGCCGCTGTGCTTCGGCCATTGAAGAATACGACGCCTGGCTCGTCTGGCTCAAGCAAAGCCAAGAACGGCACGAGGGGCTCATCGACGCCATGATGAAGCGACTCAGGGCTCTTCGCGACAAGATGTGGTATGTGACAGACGTACGGAACTCTGCACCGTATGAGCAGAGTCGAAATATCTGCGCTGCCCTCAAAACGATGGGTATGCAGAGGCGCTACAATTCTTACCAACGCAACCGCGCGCACCTCGCACGGGGACCGGCGTCAAGCTATCTGTATCGCACAGAGACTCAGATCATGGATCTCCTTGCAGCATCAGAAGAGCAGGGCGGACCCAACAAGTTGAGTGACGATCAGGCAGACAAGACCTCCCGATGGCTTCAACAAGCTGGCGTTGAGAACTTCTGCTGTGGGGAGGAGCGGATTCACAGATTCGGCTGCGAAGTGGACACCTGCATTTCGAAATTGGTTGGCGAATCCATCATGGACAGCCCTGTTCTGTGGTCGAGTGAGCTTTACCAACGAGACAGACGCAACCTGGAGACAGGCAGCAGAGGCCCCCGAGACAGGGACCACGCATTCGACGACACAGCCAGCGTCATGAGCGACCCAGATCGAAGGTTCATGTCTAACGGTCGTCCAAGCTCTGTTCGGGACCTGCGGGCAATGTCAGCTCATAACTCTAGTCAGCAGTCATTTGACTCTGGCAGCTACCGTTTTTCAAGGGCAAGCACAGTCTTATCCGACATCATTGATGGACAGGACTATTTTGGCGTCTCGTCGCCAGTCCATACCATCGACTCCAGTTCTACGTTTTGGTCGCCCTTCCAGTCGGCGATATCCCCGAGCTCGACAACGTCCCGTGCCCAATCTCCCACGACAAGCATGACAAACCTGTCCAGTGTGTTCCAGTCACCTCATTCCCATCTAGGCTCGCATGCGAGTCATTCTACCGGCAGACCTGGCACATCGGCATCGTCCAACGAGACGATTCATCAGCAGCGATTGTCGGAAGAGAAGTCTCGTTTCCTCAACGAGCTCCGTCAGACTTTAGTCAGTCTTCTTCTGTCCGACTTGGGCACATTGGTCTTTTCCCGCGGCTCCGAGACAGATGACTGGTTCTCCTCGTTGGGCCAGGAATGCATCGACAGGCGTGATTCCCTAGACCGACGCGCGCGAAGGTCTGCCAAGTCTGGCAAATTGTCACTGAGACCTCGTGTCATTGAAAAGAAAAAGAGCTTTGGGAATCTGCGAGGTGCCGGCGAAACAGACAAGAACTCTGAGACCACGGAAACTGCCAGTGCTCCGGGAAACGACAGTTCTGCTACAAGCGACACCGTGTCTGCGCGAGGCAAGGCCACCTCTAAGGAGTCGACCCCTGAATTCCCTTTCAAGAAGGCTTTCCAGCGGTTGCTTCGCATGTTCAGTGTTCATCCCAACCCTCATGCCAAGTTGAACGCCCTTTACGAGCTGCAGCAACTCATCGTAGCATCTTTAGCGAGTGGTAAAAGGTCAAGACTGGGCTGGAATCGACAAGAATTTTTGCCCGGCGCCGTTGATGACCCCACAGGCTCTAGCCGCGCCAATCCGTTGGAGGAGGCTATCGACAACGTCAGAGGAAGACGCTCGCATACCCTTCTGCAAGCACCCGCAACTTTGCCACCGGCCGTTGGGCCCCGTCCAATGCGCCAGGGTAACAATGATGTTCGCTCTGGCGCCACAAGCAACCCGACAACAACCGATGCCGTGACCAACGTCTTGCGAACATTGTTCCGGGATGCGTCTATCCGGCCAAAGACACTTTTCCGTGATCTTCAGTTCATTGCGGCATTCGTGAACCCCGCAATCCTTGACAACACAGAGAAGGGCACGGCGTTTTGGGACACTGGTCTCGCCGCCTTGAATCTGAAGCAAGAGGTCTGTCGAACAATGATTGAGGTGGCGGACGAGGTCCAAGGGCTGTATACTAGTACACGCAAGACGACCAATGATGCGCCTGCTCCAGACGCCGAGCGGCTGGAAACAGAGTCCCCCCCTCCTGTCACGACAGCCTATAGCTTGGCACAAGCAGGAAAGATGTGGACCATCACCGCCAAAGAGGGTCTGCCCACCGCCCAGCGAGAGCTTGCAATTTTCTACTTGTCGAACCCTGAGCTCGTGGAGCGGACCACCTTGCCCCTCTCGAAGCCACGCGAGGTGTTCAAGCAGGCCGTCATGGACAAGTATGCTGGCCCTTCTGGACGCACAGGTCCTGGTGCCAGACTCTACCCTGGAGACAGAAATCGCACATCGGCAGGCGCATCAGGGCTCGGTGGCTCTGCCAGCTCCCAACATCCCGGACAAGATGCGGGCTCCAAAGACGGGGATGTTCGCAGCGATCCTGCGTTGATGTGCGTGGCAGTCCACTTCTTCCAGGCGGCAGAACAAGGCGGCGATGAGCTCGCAACGTCTTTCCTCCGACAGAATGAGTTCAATGCCATGAGTTGAGGCGTTGAGAATGTGATTTGCACCCGGCGATAATATCTCTTCAAACTTCGGGCGCCGGGGGCGCTCTTTTCAATATTTGTTTTGCACATTTTCTTTTTCCTTTTCACGAGTACGACGCGGGCATATCCAGTGGGCATTTACATGGGTTTTCTTTTCATCATATTGGGAAGCTGCGGGATCCCCCCTTTTAGATGACTACAGTAGAAAGGGAGGGACATTTTGGTAGCGGGCACTCGGCCTTTTATGGAGGATATACCACTTTTCTACATACGATTATGACTTGGGTATGAAGTACAGGCTTGGGCCAATCTAGATGACATTTATTCGCATTTATACCCCATGCAAGATTCCTGATTTGCAAATGTGTCCCATTCTGTAATGATTGTGACATGTCTTTTGATGCCCAATATCGACAAACACCATTTGGCATCATTCGATTCCGAGGTACGGCATTCTCTCAAAAAGTAAGACGATCGGCCATGCCACGGACATCATACACGGTAAGATGATTGAAACGATAATGTATTCGCATTGAGCCCGGTTCGAGGTCTCAATCAGAATGCGTACTACGTTAAGACAGCCCGGCCCCGTTGGCCTGGGTTGATGCACCGGAACTAAATAACCTCCTCCCTTATCCCCTCCGACGAGCAAGCTTCAAAAATAGCATCCTCTTGTGCGGATAGCCCTCACTTCCTAGAAGTTTGGGTGTTACAAAATCAAACAGTGTCTCGAAGGACCCCAAACGCCGCCCAATTTTTCAAGTGCTCGTGTCCACATCAACCATGTCTCACAAGTAATGTGTGTGAAACCAAACAGAGCTTTTAGATAACCGACCCAGATTCATGAACGTATGCATGGCCTGCCTCTAGCGAGGCAAGAGAAACTTTGGAAAGAATTTACTGGCCTCTGCCAAAGCGAATATCAAAGTCCTTGAGCACGCTCATGATACTCGCCGCCTCGACCTCGATGGGCAGACGGGAAGGCGACGGCAGCGTCTGGCCCGGCTTGGGCGCGGCGCGAAGCTTAGGAAGCCAGGAGCCAATGTCGTCGGCGGCCTTTTCAAAGTTTCGGTGGCTGGAGAGGGTCTGGTAGGCTTCGGCACAGCTCAGGCTGAGGCCGAGGCGTCCCTTTGAGGGGAGACGGGGTGGCGGCGGCGCGGACTCGGACTTGCAGCATCCGCCTCCAGCACCGGCACCTCCACAGCAGCCGCCTCCGGAACCGCTTCCTCCACTTCGCTCAAAGTTGGCGGACAAAGCGCGGCAGAAGAGACCCGACTTGGGGTCGGCGAGACACTGGGCGCAGGATCCGGGGCCCTTGGGTCCGCAGCCGCGGGAGACGGGAGCAGCGGGCTGGGTGGTCTGGGGACGGGGACGGAGCTTGACGGCGCCATCGGCGTCGATCTCCATTGGCATGGGAGGAGGGACGGCATCGTTCTCTGAGGGAGGGGGAGTCTGAACCTGCTGGGAATAGGCGGGAGGAGGCCCGTAAGGGGTGGTGGCAGGCGGGCCGAGAATTGCGGTGTCGGCGCAGAGGCAGTAGCTTCCGTCCTTACAAAACCCACACGAGTCCTTGAAGGCCACGGGAGGCAGCTGGGGCTGGGGCTGCACGATGGCAAGGTTCGCTTGCTGGTGCTGGTGATGCTGTTGCACCTGCTGCACGGGTGCCTTCTTGGAGAACATGGCGGTGAAGTCAATCTCCGTCTCCTCCTCAGGTGGAGTGGGCTCGACGCGGGCACGCTTCTCGGAGGATGTCGGCGCCGAGGGCGAGGGAGCTCTCTTTAGGTCCGAGATGATGGCGCTTTTGATAGTCTCCTCAAGGCACTGGCATCGACCTCCGAGAGTGCATCCGCCACATCCTGTGACGGTGTCGGCAAGAATTTCGTTGGCACAGGAGCATCCTTCAGGGCCGCATGACCCGCATCCAAACGGGGCAGGAGAGTCTTCCATGTGGGTTGAGTCTTGGGGGGAGACGATCTGTGAGATGGAAAAGGGCTGGTTTGAGTGGCCAGCCGATGGGGTGGGGGGATGCTCGTGGTGAGCGATTTGAGAACCTCGGCGCTGGGGAGACGGCAGGCGTCTCGGGGCGGCGGCCTGCTGCTCGTTCCAACGTCTCTTTTGGCTTTCGAGTTCGGACTCGGCCTTGACACGGTCCTTTCTCTCGCGATCCAGCATATTTTCGAGAACGAGGCAGCGGGACTTGAAGGACTGTAGCTCCATCTCGAGGCCGTGGACCTTGTCCTTGAGGTCTTTTTCGACCTTTTCGTGACCTTCGCGGATCTCATCGAGCTGTTCCTCCAGCTCGCCAACTCTGGCGGCCCTACGCTCGCGGAATGCCCTCTGCGCGGCACGGTTCTGGGCCTTGCGCTTGGTGGGTGGCGTATCGGTGGCAGGCTTGCGGCCGGGCTTGGGCCTGGGAGGGATGACCCATTCCTTGGTGGTCATGGACATCTTGGGCGCCTCGGTGACGGGCGGGGGACTGATGACGGAGGCCATGGACATTTTGTTCACGACCTGAGGCGGCCTGGCTGAGATGGGTTGCTGTGCAGCGTTCGGTCTGATGGCAGGTAGTTGGTGCGGGGCGTGGGAGGCATTTGTCGGTCCGCTCGGATTTGGTGTGGGAGGACCGCCGGGTGTGCTCGCAGCAGGCGAAACGGCGGATACGGGGGTCGAGACAACCGAGTTGGAGCGAGATGCGGCCGAGTAGACGCTTCGGGCGTCGGTTGCGGGAGGTGAGGTGACGGGAGAGAAGGTCGACGACGAGTGTTGCTGTTGCGACGTCTGGTTGTGGGAGGAGGAGGAGTTGGTGGTGGTAGTGGTGGATGAGGAGGGAACAGTGGTGGAAACATCTGAGGCGGCCATCTTGGTGGATCGGAAGAGGGACGACCTAACGAGCAGCAGTGTTCCGCAGGCGGGGTCCGCTAAGGCCGCTCATTCGCTGGCGGGTGGTGGGATATCGCCGCTGACAGCTGGTGGCCAGATGGCGTGGTGTGGGCTGCAGATGTACTTGCCAGCTGGTAAATCCGAGGGTGCGGTTCGGCGCTCTCTCGGCTCTTGAGATCTGATAAGAAAATGGGATGAATCGATGGTTGTAAGACCGAGAGGAGCTGAATGGTGTTGGGTCTTCTTTTTTTTCTTCTTGTTTTGTGTTCTTCTTCTCGTTCGTCTTTTTAGCTGTGATGATTGCTTTCTTGGTTGACTGATTGAGCTGTTCGGAGAGCAATCGGTGCTGTACAAGTTGATATGATGCTGCTGTTGGACGATCTGGGCTGATGCCGAGCAGAATCGAGCAGATACCCCTACAGCGAAATGCACAGCTGATAGGTCTGTCTGTCTGCGCTGTACGGAGTAGTGTTATGCAGACGGGCGTGGTGGTGCGCGCGTGTTGCCGACTGGGTGACAGATCAGACACAGTTCCGGAAGATAATGTCGGCAGTAAGGTTCGGATAGCTGACTTTGTTGTTGTTGTTGAAATTGCTTGTGTAAGTGATTCCGACGATGGAAGCCAGAAGATCAGGGTATGTAAGTGGGAGAGTCAATGTTGATGAGGTGAAGAAATGTTTGGATTGCGGGCTTGTTCCTCTTTCTTCCGACACTTCGGAGGATGGTGGGGAGGAAGGAGGGGATTGGAGGGACAGCGCGGAACTGGACAGTGGAGGGGGGAAAGGGCCCAAGGGGAAGGGGGAAGGGGGGGACGGCGACATTCAAAAAGGAATTTTTGATCTGATTGATAAGATTATCTTGCTCGCAAGGCCCCCACCAGGGCCTGCGCTAGTCTTTTTTTCTCTTTTTTTTTTTTTTTCTCTCTCTCGCTGATTCCCACCCGGGCACTGCCTGCCAGAGGTACGTCGTCTTCTCACGCGCCCGGTCATTACCCACTCATTTCACCCATTTCTCTCACTCACCCACTCACTCACTCACAGCCTCACACAGACCTCAGTCACAGTATAGTATCCTCATTCTCTCACTCACTCACTCACTCGGAAAATGTCCCCGACATCCGCACAGAAATACCACTACTTTCACTCATAGTCTTGCTCACACACACAACAGCCCACACTGGAGGAATCGTTCGATGGCTCCTGTGGCTTTCCGGCGTCCATCCCCATTCCGACCCTGCGATCTCGGACCTTGTTTCTTGGGCTTGGCTGGCCACAACACACTATGATGTTACTGTGTAGGAACTTTCAGGGCTACACAGCCCGGCTTCTCCCACGGATCACCGCCCTGGTTGGCTGCGCGATCCACCATCCATGGGCTTTGATCCCCTTGATGGCTGAGTTTCCATGTCGTAACACCCATCCATGCCAGCCTCTTACATACGTAGTAGTACTCTCTCCAGTCACCTCTGCCTCTTTACTCTGCGTGGGTGCCAAGCTTAGCCACATCCCGAGGGAATTGATCTCAGGGTCTGCCGATGTCGCTGCCCTTGCCCACCGGGCGAGTGCATGATGTGCGTGACCAGTGATGACCGTGGGATAAAGTTGCATCTAATACCACAGTGTAGACAGGCCTGTCACTCCATCAACAAATGAGAGCGGCCCTTTGTCCGATGACTCCCTCGTAAGCCGAGACGTCCGTGGTTCCTACTCTAAATCTACCTTGCAGTAAGGCATGAGTAAACAACTGTAAAGACAAAAACCAGCGGGGGAAATCAATTTGACACAAAGTTTGATGAGGCTTTTCGGCAGTGTCTAAGGTATGGAGTACGGATACAAAGTGTACATAGACCAACGAGTCAGGATCGCCGAGGTCTTGATTGGACTTGCACAATTCAGTCGAATAAAATACACACAATCAATGGCACAGCAAGATCTGTATCCATCCAGTAACTTGGGCCGAGAAAAAAAAGGTACCTGATAACCGGGGATTTATGCCTCAATGGAACCTGCTTCAGGTGTCACCGCCAGTCGTCCAATGGCCTTGGAGCAGTTCATCAGGGAGATCAAGAGGTACTTGATAAGATGTCACCACCCTCCATCGCCTCCAGCTCCAATCCGTATTACCTGCCTGCATCCTTCATCCCACTCACACCTCGTGTCACTCGCCCGTCATTGGGCCATTTGATCTTTCACACCCCGAGCCCCCCAGCCGCCGCTTCCTTTCTGCAGGCTCACATGAGACGCTCATTTTTTTCCCAGTCTACTTTTTGAAGCTTAGGGGAATCGCTTGAAACGTCTGCTTTCGGGATCGTCTACACCCAGTCTCCAGTCTCCCAGTCTCCATTGCTGGATGGGTACTATTGACGAGCCAACCACCCGTGGCCCAACACTTCTCACTTCGTGACTGTGCGTAATCAGATCGGCCCTTCATCCCACATAGGCTGATCCCAAGTGGAGGGCCCCGGAAGTGGGTGATGAGAGGGTGGGAGCCACGCGAGGAAAGAGAGCAATATTTACGTACATCGTGGAGTGCTTCACAGCTAGGTATCCCAAGGTTGGTACTACAATGCTACCCTTACTGGATCCGTCCCTCTATGGCTACCGCGGTACCTCGCATCTCACGAGGTTTGACGGCGGCAATAATCGGCTCGCACTAATTACACGAACTTGTCTTTGCCTGACAGGCTGGCCCAAGGGTGGACTCCGAGAACGCTTTGGCTTCACAAGGGATCCCCTTCTTACGAGGCAACGCCAAGCGCAGCCGCGCACTTCGGCCTCCGTCTGTTTTTGTCGGACGTCTTTCAAAATCCAAGTACTACGTGAGTTGAGCTCTGCATAACGGGGATGACGTGTATCCTAGCCGCTTACCTGAGGTGACTACTCCGTACCTGTTATACTCTATACAAATCAGACTTCGAGGAGTGACCGAGTGAGCGCGTCTTGAATGATGACTTTACTGCCTCTCGCCAATGACCGCATCAGAGATGATGATGTGCGGTCATCGTCGTAAGAGCCGAGCAGATTGATCGCCGCATCGTCACTGCCAGAGACCCGGCAGGGTTTAGATTTATCCAATCCCAGCGCCGACTCCAACTCTGAACCAACTCTCCGTTGTGACCCTCTCTCGCTCGCTCAAAAATCCTCATTCACGACTGGTCCAAGACTTAAAAGTGACCACTTGGGTTGTTTGAAGGTTGCGCAACCGTGTCCACATGCAGTGAGAACTGTGGAAATCCCGGCGGGGGCTAGGTACCTACATAGTAAGGTACTTCGCACTTCGCTATGTGTGGCCCACGCACTGTTCAACCACCTCCAATTCCCACAGTGATCCCCGCGAAACCCAAGCTGTGGACCTCTGAGAAAGCTGCGTTAAGCTATCCGTACCTATCCAACTTCATCCCGCCCAAAATCGACCAACAGCTGCAATTCGAACCACCCACCTTTCGACAGCAAAGCTCCCCAACAATTCCCGATCCCGGTCCTCTAGCTTCGAGATAGCTAGCTTGCCTAAATTTGACGTCGCCTTTGCTCCGAGCTACGACATCTCTGCGCCGAACCTCAACCACCGAGCCGCCGCCGTCGCCGTCGCCGTCGCCGTCTGAAGGGCTGAAGGAAGCTCAAACCAACCAACCTAACCCCAAAGTAACGGACAAACGGGCCAACCACACACAAAAACAATGGCCAATCTCGGCATCCAATCGCCAACACGGCAAACAGCAGCCTTCCACCTCCCCTCCTCATCCTCCTCCTCCGTCGCCTCCGGCTCCGGCTACGAAGACGACGACGCCCCGCTCCCTTTCCCCGCCGCCCTCCCGCGATCCGACTTCCTCGCCCCCGGCTTCCACCCGGCAAACTACCTCTCCGCCCTCCCGCACCGCCACCAGACCCTCGACGACCTCAAAGCAGAGCTCCGCGACCGCAGCGCCGCCATCAGCGCCGAGCTGCTGGAGCTCGTCAACGGGAACTACACCGCCTTCTTGTCTCTGGGCAACGAGCTGCGAGGCGGCGACGAGAGGGTTGAGAATGTACGTGTCGCCATGCTCGGGTTCCGGAGGGCCGTGGAGGAGATTAAGGGCAAAGTGAGGACGCGCGGGGAAGAAGTTCAGGGGTTGAGCGGGGAGTTGAGGGAGGTGAGGAGGGGGATTGAGGCCGGAAGGAAGATGCTTGAGTTGGATGAGAGAGTGTCGTCGCTCGAGGAGCGGCTTGCGCTTGCGAGTTTGCCTGGGAAGGCAAAGACGGGTGACGACGAGGGAGAGGAGGAAGATGATGACTGGGACGCGGATGATAGCGAGGAGTCTGACGAGGAAGAGGATGATGATGACGTGGGCGGGCTGGTGGGTAGCAGCCCTGCGAAGCTGGCTGGCTTTACGCAAGATTTTTGCATCGTCGAAGCTCTGGCGGACGCTATTGGAAGGGATACCCCGTTTGTGGTCAAGGCTGAGGCCCGGATGGTGAGGTGTCGGAACACGATCCTCCTTGATCTCGGCACGGCGATGAAGGAAGCACGCAAGGCGGGCAAGAAGGGTCAAGCCAGGACAGTCAAGTATCTGGGCTTGTACGGATTGCTTGACGCCCAGGCCGAGGCGATCAGGGCCCTGAAGAGCAGCTGAGCCGGTTGCAGCAGGACATGAGGAACAGAAGCAAAAAGGACTCAGCCGTCACAGAGTAGCGATGCATATGATACCCAAATCAAAATCTCCAAACATGTTCTAGAGCGCTATGCCACTTTGATACACGTGTAATAAAAACACCTATGATACAGTTCATCTAAATATCCTTCCCTTTTTCTTTTGCCCCCTTTTCATCTGGATTTTTGTACATCTTTACATGACGTTGGAGAGGTGAGCCGGCGTGACCTCCTCATCTGTAGAGTCAAAGTTTCCGTTCAAGCTGAAGCCCGGAGCCTGGGAAGAGCTCAGCACAACCTCGTGGACCTCCTTGTGCGTCTCGAGCTCCGCGAGGTCAGACTTGATGCTGGCCACAAACGCCTTGACGTTGGCAGACAACATCTTGGGCGTGAAACCGAGCTGCCCGATAGCCATGCGGATGACGCCGGTGCGCTCGCGGTAGTTGTCGGCGCCCATCGTCTCACGGATGGCGCTGGAAATGTTGTCGGTGATTGTCTTCATGCGACGGTTGGGCATGAGACCCTTGGGACCGAGGATGCGGCCCAGAGCGGCCTTGTTGAGCGCCGCCTCGCTGTCGGTGTGACAAATGAGCCGGTTGAAGACAATGTTGTCGTTCTTGATGGCCTCGAACACGGACTCCTGGCCCGCGACGACAGCGCCGGCTTGCAGGGCCTGCTGCGCGATGGGGCTTCCTTCAGGGCAGATAACACCGACGCGGATGTCGGACTTGACGGGGTTGGGGAGACGGATGCGGTTCTTGACGACGGCGCCGTTTCGGGGGGTCTTGAGGTGGACGTGGATCTCGTACTTGATAGACTGGGGAGGGCGGCCGACTTCGAATGCGCGGAGGTAGCTATATTGAGGTCAGTTGGAGGAACCAATTGGAAGGAATCTTTTGCACAGAGATTACGCACCGCATGGCATCGCAAAGAGAGAATTGAGGGCAGTTCTTGACGTTGTAGGTCTTGAAGTCCTTGGAGAGCTTCTTCTTCTTCTTGTCCGTCTTCTTGTTACCCCCCTGGTTGCTCGCGCATCGTGTCTGCTGGGCGACGGAAGGGATGAGGAACCGTGGTATCGTGGAGGCTGTCGGTCTTGCTGAAGCTGAGAGACTGAGCCGGGCCATTGAGGCCATGCACTGGTTCGTTGACGCCATCACGGGGCTCTGGGTATCTGTGATCTTTTTGGAGTTGCTGCGCCAGAGCTGACCTCGGGTCGTCTCGCGTGAAGCTCTGGCCAAAGACTGCAGAAAAATTGGTGTGGCCTCACAGTTCAGGCACGAGGTGATTATCTTATCGGTTATCTTATCGAGCTGTGGTGTTCACACCTCCCGGTCATCTCCAAAAAAGTACGTACTTCCGACCGGTCCGGTCCCGGTGTGAGATACGTACAACTTTGCCTCGAAACACACCACTGTCATCAGAGCTTTACCTTGGTAGAAGAGTCATAATTATTTGCCATCAGTTGAAAAACTTTTCAAAACCCTTGAAAAGATATGAATATAAGGTGTAACTATTCGGATTCTTTTTCTGTCAAGTGCATCAACTATTTCGTGACTACGGAGAGAAAGAGCCTTACGAATACATCGAGTACCTTACAGAAGCTCTTCGCTGTGCCACCAATCAGACCGCCCCGGCCGAGTGCTCTCGGTGAGTGCGCCGTCATGTTACCCCTCCATGATTTTTAACCCCACCACGAAATATCAGCCACTCCAAACATTTGACTCACGAGACACCAGGACCGTCCTGACCACCGATCCCCTCCGATAGTCTCATCGCCTCAATTGGACCAAACACCGCCATCATGAAGGCCGAGGAGCTCCAGACCCTCCCCACCGCCCTGGCCGGCGACTTCAAGTCGATCGAGCCTCACCTCCGCGCTCTCGACAAGCACCTGACGCTGCGCACCTTCGTCGAGGGGTACTCGCTGGGCGAGACCGAGACCAAGATCTGGCAGACCCTGAAGCTGAACAAGGTCGCTATGGGCTTCATTCGCAAGGGAACCATGGCCAACCTCACTCGTTGGTTCGTCGTGATCCGTACCCCTAGCTTCAATCAATGTCCACCCGGCGCTAACTCGCGTTGCTAGGTTCACCTTTGTCGAAGTCACCTACCCCGAGATCCAAGCCGAGACCAACGCTGTCGATGCTGAGCGCAAGGCCAAGGTCGTTGCCGCTAGCAAGAAGGGCGCCAGCTACTCTCTTGCTCTCCAGAACGCCGAGGCCGGAGTTGTCACCAGATTCCTCCCCGAGCCTTCGTTGGTCTCCCCTCGAAATATTACCTGATAGACAACCTCCTAACCATGTAACAGAGGATATCTTCACATCGGTCACGCCAAGGCCGCCCTTCTCAGCGACTACTTCGCCCACGAGGCCTACAAGGGCAAGCTTCTGCTGCGTCTTGACGACACCAACCCCGCCAAGGAGAGCGAGGAGTTCCAGGATGCCATTGTTGAGGACTTGAAGATGATGGGCATCACCCCCGACTCCCTTTCCTACACTTCCGACTACTTCGACTACTTGTACGAGACGTGCGTTCGTCTGATCAAGGAGGGTCACGCCTACGCCGACGACACCGAACAGGAGACGATGCGTAACGAGCGAACCGATGGAATCGAGTCCAAGTGCCGCAACCGCTCTGTTGAGGAGAACCTGCGCATCTTTGAGGCCATGAAGGAGGGTACCCCCGAGGGCCTGAACAACTGCATCCGTGCCAAGATCTCCGTCGACAACGTCAACAAGGCCCTGAGAGATCCCGTCATCTACCGCTGCAACGTTGAGAACAAGCACCACCGCACCGGCGACAAGTGGAAGATCTACCCCATGTACGATCTCGCCTGCCCCGTCGTTGACTCTCACGAGGGCGTCACCCACGCCCTGAGATCGACCGAGTACACTGACCGTAACCCCCTTTACCAATGGTTCATCGACACCCTGAAGCTGCGCCAGGTCTACATGCACGACTTCAGCCGTATCAACCTCGTCCGCACCTTCCTTTCCAAGAGAAAGCTCGCCAAGATCGTCGCTCAGGGCACCGTCTGGGGCTGGGACGACCCTCGTATGCCCACCATTCGTGGTGTGCGCAGACGCGGTATGACCATCCCCGCCCTCCGCGAGTTCATCATCAAGCAGGGTCCTTCCCGAAACGTCGTCAACATGGACTGGGCGTCGTTCTGGAACATCAACAAGAAGGTCATTGACCCCATCGCCCCCCGCCACACTGCCATTCTGGAGAAGGATGCCGTCAAGGTCAAGGTCACCGGTGCCGACGCTCCCGCCACTCCTCGCACCGAGGACAAGCCTAAGCACCCCAAGAACCCCGATGTTGGCACCAAGAAGGTTGTCTTCTCCAACGAGCTCATCCTCGACCAGGCCGACGTCAAGAGCTTCAAGAAGGACGAGGAGTTTACCCTCATGGGCTGGGGCAACGCCTTCGCCCGCGAGATTGGCGCCACCGACCCCATCACCGAGCTCAGCGTCGAGCTCAACCTCAAGGGCGACTTCAAGACGACCGAGAAGAAGGTCACGTGGCTGTCAACGGCCGGCACCAAGCTCGTCAGGGCCGAGCTGTGGGATTTTGACTATCTCATCAACAAGGACAAGCTCGAGGAGGACGACGTGCTCGAGAAGGTGCTCAACCCCAACACGTCAACCATGGAGACGGCGCTGTGCGATGCTGGTGTCGGTGAGCTGAAGAAGGACGACATTATTCAGCTCGAGAGACGGGGCTTCTACCGTGTGGACAAGGGTCTGGATGAGGGTGACGTGGTTGTTCTGTTCAACATTCCCACTGGCAAGGCCAAATAAGTTATTTCGCTGTTTCATTTGTAGAAAGATTCAGGCCATGAAAGAAATGAAGAATTGAAGTATGAAGCAAAGGTACAACCTGGCCAATGTGACTCTTGATGCATCGTAACGGTATCCGTACTGAATATCGCAGAAGATACATTCATGTGAAATGTTTGGTCATCTAGTGCTTGTTGTGTGTCGCTCCATAGTTTTATCATGCTAAGCACAAACAAAGACAAGCAGAGATACACGTTCCGCCAAGAAACGAATATCCACAAAAGATCAAATTCATTTCGAGACTACATTGTATGATGTTGAGCACGAGCTATAAGCGGTACTCTACAAACCATCCATTTCGTCGTCTGGACAGCACAAGCAGGCATCCAGTTGTATGGACGGACTATCTGTTTCCGGAGAATAAGAGATTCATGTTGTGTGTCCCGTATACTCTTGAGCAGTAAATGACAGGCATGGAGAGATAATCAGACCATTCGCCTTCATCAGCTCACTTTAACCCCAGACTTTTCTCCCCGCGATTGAGGCGGCCTAGAGCGTTCATCATTCTCACCCCACTGCTTCCCGCATGCCTCCTGCAAGGATCGCCAGTTGCGGGGTCTAATACTGAGAGCTAGGTGGGTTGGGTTAAGCCGTTGGTGTCAACTGGCTATCCTTCGTGGCCCAACAGCTGCCCCGATTCTCGTGCCTCGAAGCTGCCTGCGGATAAGCAGCTTGGTATTCTAGACTGAGAAGCTTTTTTTTGAATGTTCCGAACTCTACTGGGCCGACTCATTCATGTCTGGCTTCACTCTGAGTGTACCGGCTTGAGGACACCGGTCCCGGTCCGGCAGTAGAATTCGCGCACCAAATTGTACATGTCTGGAAGCATGAGGCCTATCCAGCCAAGCGACTCTTCACCTCATAATTCCCTAATATAAGAAAGGTGTAGTCCTTCCATGCAGCCGGACCGGAAGCGTGGGGCGAAATTTCCGGCCAAGATCGGGAGAAGCTCCCATCGTGCCACGAAGCGTACCTGATCTCGCCTCATCCTCACACCGACAGTTTTGCATGAGATTCCACCAATCCTCCGCCATCGTCCTGCGTCGGTTTAAATAGAAGCTATACACGTTGTAATTCCTTTGTGATTTCTCAATTCTGAATACCAGGGCCACTTCTTGACAGCCTTATCAGCCCCCGAGTCACACACGTCCGGTATTGCAATCTTGCATTATCTCCTGCAGCTAACGAGCTACCCTAGTCTACCCATTCATTACCTTTGGGTACTTTATCAAGGTCATTTCCGTCCAAGACAACCCAAGCTCTTCGGGAACGAGATCCTCTCTGCAAGACCTTCAGGAACACATACCCAACTTCAGTCAAAATGGCCGAACCCAACAATACACCCTGGCCCCCAGCAACACCACAATCTCAAACTCCTCTCTCGGCGTCGCCTGTCCTCCACCCCCATCCTGGCGGTCAAGTAGAACCCATAACGGCAGCATCGCAAGCACCAGCAGCAACAACGAACGGCACGCATAAGCCCCGCGTCCTACATATCGGCGACCCCATCAAGTACAACCCGGAAACCTACGCCGCCTTCTCCGCGCAATGCGACATCATCCGCCCCTCGACGCCCGAACGCCAGCGCCCCGCATTCGCCGCCGCATTACGGGACGATAAGTGGGGCGACTTCTCCGCCGTCTTCCGCCCGTTCTGGGGCACGGGCGGCGAGATGGGTACGTGGGATGCCGAGCTGGTTCCGCTGCTGCCGGCGAGCTGTCGGGTTTTTGCGAGTGCGGGTGCCGGGTTCGATTGGGCTGATACGCAACTTCTCGGTGAACGAGGTGGGCCTTTCTCTCTCTCCCAGATCGCTCTATGTTGAAGGAAACATATCAAACATGATTTGAGAAAACTAACACATAAAGGCATCATCTACTGCAACTCGGGCCTCGCCGCCGCCGAAGCAGTAGCAGACTTCGCCGTCGCTCTCGTCATCTCAACCTTCCGCCACCTCCCTTGGTGCACGGCATCCGCCGCAGACCCGTCCGCCTTCCAAGACTGCCACACTCGCGCCACGGCCGCCTCGCACACCCTCCGCGGCCACGTCCTGGGCCTTGTGGGAATGGGCAACATCGGCCAGCAGATCGCGCAGCGTCTCGGTGTCGGTTTTGGTATGGAAGTGCACTACTTTGACGTCGTCCGCAAAGACCCAGTCAACGTGGAGGCCCAGTTTGGCGCGACATTCCACGAGACGATGGAGAGCTTACTGCGCGTCTCGGACTGTGTTGTGCTGTGCACACCTGCTGGTGGTAAGGTTATTACTGCTGAGTCGTTGGCTTGGTTTAAGCCTGGGTCGAGGTTTGTGAATATCGCGAGGGGTAGCTTGGTTGACGAGGAGGCTTTGGCGGATGCGTTGGAGTCTGGGCAGATTGGGACTGTTGCGTTGGATGTGCATGCCGACGAGCCGAAGCCGCATCCGCGGTTGCTCAAGATGGCGGGGACGAAGGCCATGTTGACATGTCACAATGCTGGAGGGACGGTTGAAACGCACAAGGGGTTCGAGGAACTGAGTATGAGGAATATCATGGCGGTGTTGGGGGGAGGGCAGCCGATTACGCCTGTTAATCTGCATTATCTGAAGCAGTGAAGGGGGAAGTATAATACGACTTTGTCTGTCTTTCCTTGGAGTCAAATAAGCTGCATGGAGGATTTGATCTTTGCAAGAGAAAGAAGCTACTCATTCAACTTGAGAGATAACGCATACGACTGAGAACCTGCAAACTTATTGCCGACCTACATGACGGCTGAAGCAATCATGATCCCCCTGCGGACTTTGAATGTCGATGAGAAGCAAAACATAATGAAGGATAGCCACCGAAAGAGTCTTGTTCACATGTTTGAAAACGCGAGTAAGGACTTCGCATATGCGCTAGATAGGCGTTTTTTGGTGCGACATTGATCTCGAGTATCCTGTTCAACTTGATTAGACCATGATCCCGGTTGTTCAGCTCAACTAGCCACTCATACTAGCTTCCTCAGCCCAATAAGGCTGCCTTGCGTGTCTGCCTGGAGATGGTGAGCAAAAGCCCATCTTTCAGGCTTCAAAAGAGGCACTGTCCCATGCCCTGAACACATGCCTCGTAGTAAAGTACATCAAACTTGTTCAATGGTGAGGACAAGACGAATTTTGCGACATATAATGGCAACTATTCAGAAGTATAGGGAGCGCAGCAATGTGCAAAGAAATACAACTGATTGGAACGCAAAGCTGCCCAACCCGAAAACCCACATTCGCCTGCTCACGATCCTTCCAGGTCGACAGATAGAGGAACTTCGTTGTACCTGCAGCACTATCAGTCTTGATGACAGGCCAAAGTACAACGCCCTATCGTATGTCTGGGGAAACCGTGAGGCAAAGGCTCAAGTGACTGTGAACGGCGTTCAAGTTACGATCAACAAGAGTCTGGCAGGAGCTTTGAGGCGTATCCGCCATGAACGAGAGCCGACTGTTATCTGGGCAGATGCCCTTTGCATCAACCAGGATGACGAAGACGAGAAAAAGTATCAGATCGATCTCATGCATCGCATCTATGGCGAGTGCGAGAATTGTTTGGTCTGGATGGGAGACATAGTAGTGAAAGGGGATAGCAGCGTCGCAGCGGAACTGGCTGCAAGAGCGGCCTTGAACGCTGTGCGCATCATCGCAGGGCAGCCACACGACCAGGATCTCGGTTGGCCTGGCCAGTATCCAGTTGCTACAAGCGTTGATGGCAAGGGTCTCACTGCCGGGGCAGCATTGCAATCGATGATGGACTGCGAATGGTGGCAGCGTATCTGGACAGTCCAGGAGGTCTGTCTGCCTCCGAAAGCCACGGTTCTCTGGGGACCACTCGAGATCAGCTTCCAAACAATCATGGACGGAGCGAGCTATATGGTGCAACCAGATGAGCACCCGCAACGCAACAACATTTTCGATCTATTCCAAGAGGGCACCGCCATGTACCCAAGGCTTCATACAAGTCCGTACACGATACCCGTCCTCAGCATTGCTCACGCCAGACTCTGGAACCAGTCCAGAACCGACTCCCTGTATAGACTATGGCGGTTTCGAGACAGGAGGTCCACATATCCGAAAGACAAGTTATTTGGCATCTGGGCGCTTCTCAATAAGGCATACTTGCCTGATATCAAGCCAACAGATTACGTCCTCGATATTGTGGTTTTATTCTCAAGACTCATGATTAGTCTACTGAGATCTCTTGATAGCCTTAAGCCTCTTATCGGCTGGAGAGGGGAAAGAGAGACGGCCGGTCTGCCTACCTGGGTCCTGGATTTGGCTCAGCCGGAGGACTCTGCGTGCACCAGCGATTTCTGGACACATGATATTGCCTGGAGACAATTTCATGCCAGCAGTGGTCTACCACCATTCAAGCCACCAGCCAAGCAAGCAGAAGATCTCACATTGCTCACTTTGAACGGCATTCGCGTTGACAAAGTGGCTACGATCTTGATGGACCTGAGGCACACGCGAGAGTGCCTGTGGAGACATGGATTTGAGGACGCTCTCAAAGGCCAAGCCGGCAAAGACGATATCATGTATCAATATAACAACCTTATCCAGGGCAAGTTTGGCGAGAATCGTGAGCGCGTCACGGACGAGTCTTGGCACGGGGGTCCGTGGTGGGAGGACAGGATGCTCTCTTACCAAGTTCTTTTCATCACGCAGGAGAATCGGCTTGGCCTTGGCCCGCCTAACTTGAAGCCGGGAGACAATGTTTGGATTCTTTCGGGCGGGAACCATCCCTTCTTACTCCGTTCAGTTGAAGAGGGAAGGGGAAATGCGGACTTGTGGGAATTCGTTGGGGATTGCTTCGTATACGGTATCATGTACGGAGAAGCCTCTTCTGGTGGATTTCAACTCTCATCCGTAACCTTATGTTGATGCCGCTCTCATGACAGTCTCACCGTCGGTGCTTGGAAAGATCTCTTCATGTGGTTTCTCGATCCTAGCTTTGGAACATAGCACTGGGAACGAGATCAAGATCTCATAAGACAATCTTACTTGGCGTCAAGGCATGCCTTTCAATGCTACAGCCGCGTCAAACAATAGGCGTCATTCACGCGTGCAGCATCAACGACAGTGTAATCCTTCCGTTCCGTCTTCCAAACACCTGTAATTTGAGCGATAGCCTTCCAGCGTCTTCCTGCCAACAATTATCGGTAAGTGTTATGTGAAAATCGAGGCGTCTTAAGTGAGGCGCATCTCACTCTTGAGAGACATTTCATCTCACTCAGTTTTAGTGCAGCAGAGGCGTAGGCAGATGACTGAGAATGAGGGGCAGCAGGCGGCACGTGCGCCAATGTTGTCACGAGCCTCAGCTGAAAGTGCGCTGAGCTGAGCTGAGCTGAGCGCAGCCGACGATGAAAGTTGGAATGAACATGTCGTGAACCGGACAGGAGACGGCATCATTTTGCGACTCTACGAACTCATCCATAACGTACTGACTACCCCGGTGCCCGAGTCGGCTGTCGTCAATCATCATGGCTTCCTCAAAGCGCTGGCCGGCGCCCATCCACGTCTTCTCCTACCGCGCCCTGCTCGTGGTGCCCATCATCCTCGCCATCGCGACCTTCGCGTCGCTCTTCATCCACTCTGATGTCAACGTCGCCCTCCTCTACTCACAATGCGATGCCCGGGCTCGCTTGCCGGCCGTCAGCAAGGTTCCCGTTCTCGGCCCGCCCGTCTGCTTCGCCATAAGCTTCTTCCAGAGCGCGCTCGATTCCATGCGGACCTTCGCCAGCATGTCCGCCATCCTCTCCTTCATCGCCGGCCTCATGACCGTTACCACCATCGAGGCCGCACGCGTCTGTAACGCGCCCAACGTCGTGATTGCGAACCCCACTGGCCCATGGCTAGTTTTCAACCTCATCGGTGGAGCTGTGGTCTGGCAACTCGTCATCCTGCCCGCCTTCTTCCACCGCTCGCGATCCATCCTGCTTGCTCGGAAGAAGGCCGGACAGGAGGCCGTCGAGAGCGCTGCATCCAAGGATCCCGACTTCGGCAAGGACTCACGCCATCTCGTTGTCGATGCGGAGATTATCGCCATCCCTGTCAGCGTCGCGTGGGGCTTCATACTGCCCTCCCTCCTGATGCTCATCTATAACTCCCCGGTCATCATCGTCATCTGGCTCTTCTTTCCCGTCTGGGTGTCACTGATCCGCCAAGCTGTCAGATGGGCCGTCTTGCGTGTGCAGAAGCGCCAGCGCCGCAGCTTCCATCTCGAGTCTCACACGGTCTCCCTTCTGCTCGTCTACCTCATTCCCATCCTTTGCTCCGCAGTCTCTCACGTCTACTTCATCTGGAGCCTGTTCCAGTGGGACGACAGGAAGGAGATGACACGTGCTACAGTCAAATTCGTTGAGATTGACATGTTCTTCATCGGCTTGACTGTCCTGTATTGGCTCTTCGTTGAGACTGGCTGGAAGGTCCCCTTGGTCGCAGTCCTTGGCACCATCCCACTCGGACCGGGTGCCGGTATTTGTATTGCATGGATATACCGAGATACCGAGATTCGCGAGAGTCTGAAGCAGTGGCTTTCTGATGTCGTTGGAAGTCAAGAAGAGGCTAACGAAGAGGGCAGAACTTCGGCTAGCGAGGAGACACCACTATTGCATTGATAGTGTGAAGAGATAGCAGCAAGCAAATACAAGTTGGCACTCATTCATCGCCGCGGTGACAATCGCCCTTGCAAGACTTGCCCTCGCATCTGATTCCTATGCGTAGATAGCTTCTGTCCGAGAAGTCTTAACAATGCCGAAGAGTCCGCCTTGGCCAAGCATTTCGGCATCTTGATCTACATCGTCACCTCGGAATCAACAATCAAGAAAAGATATACAAGACGCAAGCCCCCCGACTCCTGATCTTCCCCGCTCGATCCTCAAGAAACGCCTTTCGTCCGGTTTATGGCCGTCGGTATCTTTGTCTTGGCCAACATTACATGCACGATACCGTTGAGAAGCATGGCACTACAGCCACTCTTCGAACTCTTCATACGCGAAACAGGATCCTGCAGAGAGAAGCTCACAAGGTGCATGTTCTCTCTCCGCACGATACCCCGCGGGGACCCCAGATCTGTCCCCGGATTCTCATTCAAGGTTAACCGGCTAGTGTCGTTTGGATGCCAGGTCTAGATCTATGTCTTAGTATCTGCCCCCTCTATAAATATGGATCAGCCATCGTGAATTGGCGTCTTTGTTGTTCGAGCTCATCGGCCTGCAAACGTGACGAAAGACGACTTCACAAACATTAGCGTTGATACCTCAGAAACACTCCTTCCTCACCATGGGTTTCGCTTCAGCAAAGGGGACGAATGACCCCCCTGAGGTCCGCAACTGGAGAATCCACTTCATTGCTCTTGTTGCGTCTATGGCTGCCTTGTCCAGTAAGTGAGGTCTTGAGAGAACCCGAATATCCTGTTCATTACCCTCTCTAACGCAGCGGAAATCTGCAGTGGGCTATGATACGGCCGTCATAGGAGGCACAATGGCGCTCGACTCCTTCGTCCGCGACTTTGGCATCGACAAGATGACCGCCCAAGAAAAGAACAACTCCCTAGCCAACATCGCCTCCATGTTTCAAGTCGGCGCCTTCTTCGGTGCCCTCCTAACCTTCCCCGTTGCCGAGAAGTACGGCCGCAAGAAGGCCATCATGATGGCGGCCCTCATCTTCTGCGTCGGTGGAGCGATGATGTCCGGAGCCAACGGTATCCTCAAACTCGTCATCGCCGGCCGCGCTATTGGCGGTCTCGGTATCGGCATGGCTACCATGACGGTTCCAGTCTACATCGCTGAGACGTCACCGCCGAGTATCCGCGGACGCCTCGTGGGGATTTTTGAGATCTTCTCTCAGGGCGGCGGGATGCTCGGGTTCTGGATCAACTACGGCACGAGCCGTACCATCGACGTTGAGAATGAGGCGCAATGGATCGTGCCGCTGGCATTACAGCTTCTTCCGGCTTTTCTTCTTTTTGTTGGCATTATGTTCTGTCCCGAATCGCCCCGTTGGCTGGCTCGAGGTGATAACTTTGAGGCCGCGGAAAAGGTTTTGGTCTACGTTCGTAGACTTCCTGCCGATCATCCTTATATCCAACATGAGATGAACGAAATTAAGCAACAAGTTGAGGAGCGGAGTACCGTCCGACTCAGCAAAAAGCAACAACTACAGAAACTCCTTGCTCCTGGCACGAGGAACCGTGTGGGTACTGGAACGTTTCTCATGTTTCTGCAAAGCTTCACGGGGACGAATGTGATGACTTATTACTCACCCCAAGGTAATAAAGCTCAAAGACAACCATCTACTTCCATCCTAGTACCCAGGGCTGACACTCTAAACCAGTTTTCGAGACTCTGGGAATCAGTGGAACCAGCAACAAGCTATTCAGCACCGGAATCTACGGCATCGCAAAGATGTTGGGCATGATTCTGTTCGCAGTATGGGTCATAGAGGGCCTCGGCCGTCGCAGCGGCCTTCTATGGGGTGCTTTCGTTGGCAGCATTCCCCTCTGGTACGTGGGCGGGTACGTCATGGTCGCTAATCCAACCGCCAGAGCAGCGGGTGGTGTTGTTCAGCAAGATGCGTGGGGTTATCTTGCCATGGTCTGCATCTACCTCAATGCCTTCGTCATCTGCTCCACCATCCAGGGAATCACGTGGACATACGCATCCGAGATCTTCCCCTTGGATATCAGGATGCTCTGTGTCGCGATGTCTACGGCGTGTACGTGGTTGGGCTCCTTCATTGTCGCGAGAGCCACTCCTTTCATGATTACCGACCTCGGCTACGGGACGTTCTTCATGTTTGGAGGATTCTTGATCTTTATCGGCGTTTGGTCATTCTTCTTCATTCCGGAGACGAAAGGTCAGTTCTGCTTATCGCCAAGAATGCCTCTACGCTCAAGCCTTATGCTGACAACCTAACCATAGGTCGTTCGCTGGAGGATATGGACATTCTGTTTTCGCGGCCGACACACGTGGTTGTTTGGGCACAGCTCAGGGGAAGGCCGATCCTGTCGACGAATACTCCAATGTCGCCCAGGGGATCTATGGACAAGGGCGAAGTCAAGGTGGTTGACATGGCCTAGTGTGATTTCAACCACGGCATCCTCTCGTATCCAAGAAGAGTGTTGGCATTACTGACCAAAAGACGCTCTATTTGTTACCACGAATACGTTACACGTAGGCCACAAGCAACTAGTTCTCTTACAATCTGCGGTTGACCTAGATAATACGCGCGTGGTTATAGGTCTTGTGATAAGATCACTGTTCACGGAAAAGGCATGGCAGTGAAATGAATCAGGTGACCAAATATCGTTGTTCGCCGACACTTTCAAGACATGGTCACCAAAGTCTTCATGTGCCTAGACTACAAGATAGCTACTGCTGAGGGCGGACTAGCAATCCCGCCAGGAATATCCAAAGGTACACTGACCATCATGAAGGACCATCTCTGGAGTTCTCTACACCTTACAGCGAGCCTCTCCAAGTCGAAACTCTCTCCAATCGGCATGCCCCACCCACTCAGGAACACCTCATGCATGCTGACGCCCCATGGTTTAGGGCTCGGCCAGGCCTCGTAGGCGACAGTATCCGAGGCCACCGCAGCAAACGCATGATCCCAGTGCCAGCGAATTGCCTCTTCGCTCGCTTCGACGCCACAACTTGCTCGAACTTCCCGTTGGGGTAAAGCAAGTTGTTCAGCGACGGTGAGCGCACGGTAGGCTGGTAGCCAGCCTGTTCGGACCAGCAGGATGTCGCCTTGTCGAAACTCGGTTTTCTGAGCGTTTGCTACGGCCTGGAGTTGAGACAGGGGAATGCCAAAGGTTGAAAAGGGGTCAAAGGTGATGTTTTGCTCCGTTGCCCAGGAGTACCAGTCAAGTAGAACACCGCGGCCAGTGATGGACTTCCTTGCCATATCTAGTGAGCGAAACGTCAGAACGCGGCCTTGGAGACTGTGAAGTAGGACTTGTATGTTGTTCTACTTACTTTGAATGCCAAGTTTAGTGTTGTTATCGGGCCCTGAAATATCATCTTGAGTCACGCCATTGTAGTATTGAATATGCTCTTGGTAGGGATAATGTCTTGGCCCATCCCAATGCGTTGCGCCTTGCGTATTAATGGAGATCTGTTCCCGCAATTTGTTAGAGACTCAGGACCGCGAGCCACGGCTCAGAAGACTAACCTCGTCGTCATTGGCGTTGCCTTTTGGAATGATACGGTGTTCGCACGGCTTTCGAACTGGGTTCATTGGCTGTATAAAGGCATCCAATGGAAGACTGTTGTGTAAGAGCTTGTTTAGCGCTGGAACTGAAGAGAGCTTTCACATGGCTTGCTAAGTGTACTTACTTGAGCGTTATTGTCTCGCCTATCACCACCTCCCTCGTGGTATTCTTGACCAAAGCTGGGTTCAGAAGATTGAGAGCCCCGAGTTCATCTTCATCGCCCCATAATCCCCATGCCGACGCTTTCGGATCTCCCACATGGAGCGGCAAAGAGTCAAAGCTTGGCCGGGTGCTTACTTCGGTTGAATTAAAGTTGCCCATGGCTGAATCAGCTGGAGAAGACAGTGAATTCCTTCGTGTTTCAAACATTATTGTATCTATTCCAAAGAAGCTTTTAATAATGCTCAAGACTGAACATGCTCATAGATAGGTCGAGATCACCGGCCGAGTGTCAGCTGGAGATCGGCTCGGGGAGACCCGCAGCCTGCGACTAGGAGTGACGGCGATCTCGGCAAGATCGGTATTCTTGCCGGCTGACACCAACCCCCAACCCCCAAGTCCAAGGGAATTCGGCATGTTCTCAAATCCATCCGGATGCTCCGCAGAGGGGAATTCGAGCCCTCAACGCCTTCGGACAACCTCCGCCGCGTTCACAATTCCGGGAGCCATGGGGACTAGCCAGCTTACTGGTATCCCGCCGGCTTATCATCCCCTCTCCATCGAAAGTGGCCTCAATGTTACATTATCAATTTTATTACGAAGTAGTTGACGGCCATACGCCAGCTTTCCCTCTAGAAGCCATCGAGGTGGGATCCAGATGGCCAAACTAGACTTGTGCCGGAGAACGACATGCCGGAATCGCCCAAGATGTGATCTGCAACTCCCCATGGGAACGCGTCCGGTTGAAATCCGGCTCCCGTGTTTGTCCCACCGTAACTAACATTGTTACTCCAGCTGGCCCCTTCCGTGAAGAACGTATTCTCATCCACCTCTGGATCGACAGCAGAAGAAAGCTGTGAGGTATTGCGTGCCGTTGGGTGATTTCTAGTCGAAGTGATATGACGGCCCATACTACCTCTTTGCACACCACCCATTCGTGGGTTCAGTGACCCTGTCTGACGCGGATCGACTTGATGGGGGTTCTCAGCAGAATTCGAGACAGCATTGTGTCTGAAACCCGAGTTATTGCCAACGTCTACAACTCGGGGTTGCCCGTTGCTCAATAGCCGACGAATGGTATCGAGACTTCTTCCGCTTCCGGGGGTATGTGAAGCTTCCTGCTGGAGTATACGACATGCGGCTGCAAGTCTTGCTGCCGCGTTTTCTCTCTCGGTACCAGTTGATGCTCTTTTCAGCTCTTCAGCTTCCACTGTAGCAGCTGTATATATGCAGTAGCTGACTTGATATGTCATGAGTCGATGTGGAAACGTCTTTGAGAACAGCGAATGAATCGAGTGAATCTTCTTTGAATGGCAGACGCAGACCTCGAGCGCCTTCTCCATCATTGTGGTATCTGAAGAACTTAGATACGGCCTTCTCAAGAGAATGTGTAAAGCATGGTAAAGTAGACTTCCTTGTGTCAATACCGCATATAACTAGAGAGGCAGGGGCAGGAACTTACTTTAATGACACAATGTGTGGCGGAGGGCTTTGATCCAACATGGATGCGTCCTCGATTCTTAATGGACTTGGAATCTCATCATACCACTGGCATATCCTGCTATCAAGCTCCTCCATCTGTGTAGTGAACTCCTCGTTCCTGCTTGTGCTCGAGAACAGCAACATCATATCCGTAGTGGCTTCGTGAAGCCGACAAAACGCACAAAAGGCTGTTGTCGTCCAGGAAGGCGAAGCAACGAAGTTTTCGGAGACTTCAGTAGCTTGAACAGGCTTCCAAGAGCGTTGATCGTCAACTTTATCCAGTATATCCTGAGCAGGGTAAGGACGTCGTATCAGAGAGGGTGGACGGCCTAGGGCCAGGCTCAGTGTCTTATCCCAGATGTAAGCCGAGTTGTACAGCCTCTTTCGAGTCTCTATCTCAGCAGGTGTCCATCTCTCAAGCCTGGAGAGCTTAGTGATGTCCAGATGAAGCCCAATGTCTTTCATCATCCGTACTGCCATGCCGGTGTATAACCAACCTTCGGAGCTTTTCCCCATGGCACACTGGCGCCCGCCAAGAATCAGCAACCCCTGAATTGTAGGAATCGCTGGCTTCATGGCCGTCATTTCCTTCAGTAACAGCTCCCTTGCACGTGTGATGAACTGGTCGCCTCTCTCCACTCCACCTGCTGCGGTAACTTGTTCAGGCAGATGCCGAGCTGCTAGACCGAAGATACATAGGAGTAAGAAGTCGGTGCAATATGGCCCCCCTAGAGCAAGATCCATCATCAGGATAGGTCTGTACACACAGCTATGAAGTGGGTGTAGCCAGGTCCAGTAGATATCAAGCAGGGCCATGCCGAGAGTGGTGTCAATGCCGGTGCCGTTCATTGCTGGTTTCGCAGCGATGAGGGGGAGCCATACAGAGTCCATCAGAGCATACTGAGACTGTAGAACTTCTACTTGCGCTCGTTTGGGGTCGCTATCCTGATTTTCGCCGGTCAAGTGGGTTTCCTCGAGGGACCCAGCGTGAAAACGACTCGTCGGACCGTTGTAGATCACAGTACCGTCTTCTCCGAGACCGACCTGGAACCAAAGTGAACCCTCCGTGTCGGTATTGGCTTCAGCAGCGCGACTGCCATCATGAGAAAGTGGGTGGCTGCGAGCCGTACCGGCATTCGTAGCGTCGGTATCAGGTGTCTCGAGTTCTGGCTGAGGCTCGTTGGAAGACCGAATCGGACTCCTTATTGATGCCTCTAGATTCCGGATGCGAGCATTTGCCTCTCGAAGTCGGGACTCGGCCGAGGTCTGTGTCGGCCAGCTGCACGTCTCCCCGGACCGGCGGCATCCCGTACAGATGGGCCGAATTCCACTGCACTTGACCTTGCGAGCTTTGCAGCTTGAGCACGCAAATCCATAGCGGCGAGCTTTCCGGGCAGCAGAAGATGCCGAGGTGGAGGCTGTCTGTGCTCTCGGCGTTTGCAGACCGGCTTCGGCATCTTCGCTACCGTCGGAGCCTGCCATAAGCTGGGCTGAAAGTTGATCGGTGGTTTTCTGAGAAGTCCCCAGTATTGTTGTAACACGAAGAGACGGAGATCGGGCAGATATGTGGCCAGTCGAACCGAATATACTAGGAAAGCTGAGGGGGTGAGATGTGAAGTCTCAGCAGTATTCACGGCATTTCCCCACAAGCCACCTCCCCATTGCGGGGAAGCGAGGAGATGCCGACGGGATGCCACTAAGCACTACATAGACGTGATACTACTTGCTTAGCTCAACATTGAAAGCCTCTTCCTCCATTTCGAAGTGACTCCAACTTCTTTATTCAGCAGCTCTAACCACCAGGGGCCGATAACCCCGTAGCTTGGGCTCCAAGGAACGGGTGGGAAAGCACGAACTGGTATTATGTCCCTACGTAATAGTTTTGGGGGCTCGGGTACTATCAGCTAATGCGTTTTATCTTTATTTTAATTTTGTTTAGTCTTGTTTTTTATCTTTGTTAAACCTTTCTTCAAATGAGAGAATCCATTGCAGCATTGAATTTTTATTATCTGTATACCAAAGCCGCCGCTCAAGAAATATCTACTATACGTAGCACCTGTCTGCATGAATAGTGCCGCAAGCTTGGCTCTGCGACCTATCAATATATACAAGGTTGAGCGAGGTTGGTGCCGATGTGGAGAGCTCAGACAAATCTTCCCTTCCTAGAGCTTTAGAAGTAAATTTGGTTGGAATCACGACACAGCTATCACGGTCGTTGTAAGGGAGTTAGATTTTCCTAACTGCGTAACTACTCCTCACCAAAGGCTTGTAACCAGGTGCTTCAGCACCTCTGAGTAAAATGAATGGTTCCATGTAAGGTAGTCCTTGGTAGCTAGGATCAAGGAACATATCGATACAGAGGATGGTCATCGCCCTCCTCGGAAACCTCTGGAGGAACATAGTCTAAATCGCTTTTCCCGTACTTCTCGTCACGCTTCCTATTCTGCAATCTCAAGCAAAGACTGAGAATAGCAGCTATGATAGCCGCGCCAAATAACAGTCCAGCGCAAATCCACATGCCCTTGGAATACCAAGGTTGAGCCGATTTCGGGAACAAACGAGCTCCAAGAATGGGGCCGCACTGCCCAACCATCCCGAACAAAGCCAGACCCGCGCCGCGCTTAGATGCCGAGCCTTGATTATCCGTTACCCACGTAAATGTGATGGCTACCGCCGGGAACACTCCCGCGCAAACAAGGAAAGTTGCAAAGTAGCGGACCCCAGTGGTGTGGATTGTTGCAAGCAGAACATAACCAATGGCTCCCACGGAACAAAACATGGCGATAAAGATACCTCGACTCCTAAGACGGTCCGAGATGAAGCTGGCAGAGACACAGACCACATACGCAGTCAGGTACGGGCAAGCGGAGAGACCCTGAGCACGAAGTGAAGTGAAACCCATGGCCTCAAGAATTGTGGGTAGGTATGCTGGAAGGGACCCAAAGGCAGTGTTGAGACTGAAGATGATGATAGCTTGCAAGTAGTTCTTGTAGTCGAAGAACGCTGCGAATGCTTGCTTTCCATTGAGCTTTCCGCTTCGTTTTTCGCCTCGGCCTTTGATGGCGCGGTGGCTGATGATCTCGTTCTCGCGAGGGCTGAGGAAACGGCACTCGGCTGGGGAGGCAGGGAGGAAAAAGTATGCCACGAAGGCAAGGATAATCGTCGGGGCACCCTCTACAAAATTATCGACTTAGTCAAGAATGTTGAATATTACTTGGATAAAATGGGTTTCTTGCTATACTTACCCACAAGAAAGAGGAGCTGCCAATTGTGAATAGACGCCTTCACGTGCAGCAGGCCGTAAGCAATCGCAGAGGCCACACAGCTCGCAAGCGGCGCGAACGAAATGAAGAGCCCGTATCGGAGACCCATCTCACCGCGATGGTAGAAGAAGGTCAGGTATAGGGCGACAGCTGGGATGAATCCGGCCTCAAAAGCTCCAATCAAGAACCGCAAAGCCATCATGCCTGCGAGATTGGTTGTGACTGCTTGAAGCATGCTCATGGCGCCCCATCCAGAGACCATCATTGCAGTCCATAATGGCAAGGGAACAAAGGTCCAGACGATAATCAACTGGGGGATGGGACTGTCAGCGATAAGAAACCAGAGACTGAGGAGTCTGCAGAGGGCATCTCACCCAGTGGAACAAGATGTAGCCAATGTATAGAACGGTCACGATCCAAGAGTAATCGTCTGAAGTGATACCCCAGTCTATTCCCATTCCAGCCGTATATGCGTTCCCGACATTGCCGCGATCAATGTAAGAGCAGAAATTGAGGGCTCCGAGCCTACACAGACAATGTTGTCAGTAAACATAGACGGGTTCAATGCAGAGTCCTAGGCGATAAGACGGCAAGAATATTCCCACAGCCAAGAGAACTCACAGAGGTATCAGACTCCAATCGAGCTTTCTCAAAGCAGAACCCTCTTCCTCACTGGTCCAAGTGACCGTGGCTGTGCCATCTGCTGACTTCAGGTCTTCAACAATATCGATCTCTTCCATCTGACCGCCGCAAGACGGCTTGGCGTTTTCGACGTGAGTTGGATCCTGCTTCGCTTCTTGGCGCATGGCAGACATGGTAAGAACAAAGCCTAGTAGAGAACCTGGGAAAAAGCTCTCGGGGGAATTGACAAGAATCGGTGCAGCCGAGGACGGGGATGCCAAAGTAACAACTTGAGCTTCTTGCAGATGGCTTTTCGTAACCTTTCGTAGGGGACCATAATGGACTTATGTTCAACTTATTCCACTCATGATGAACTTGTTTCGAGTGGACCAAAATGTCAGTTAGAGATCTGGAGAAGAGGTTTGCCTACCCCACGGGGAAAGCCCCCCCCGCCGAAAGCTCAAGCCAACTCAGACTAGGTGGGTAGACTAAGATAATCATCACACCAGGTCTCGGTATCGATGCCGAGTGATTTGTAGTGGAATAAGAGGCGTGACCTAGTGGTAACGCAATTCTGGTCAGATAAATGTGTTTATGGAAGATACCGAACAATCAAAGACAAACCAGATTCCGAAAGGTGGAGGGGGAGATGCCGAGGAGAACCCCGCAGATCGGACGAGCTTACCGTGAAAGATTCCGAACGGTTTCGTAACACATACTCTTGCAGAATAAACTGAGCCCTCGGGCGGGCAAATGGAAAGCCAAGAAAGGACGTCATATGTTTTCAGATGCTGGACGAGGACACCGGAGAGCCTCCGAAAGACGGCATTCATGAACGTTACCCGAATCCGCTCAATTGGTCTCCAAGTCGCGGTTTTAACTTGACAAGTCAAAAAGAACGCGATTAGCCCGACTTCCAACAATCTTGCTGAGTGCGTCAAGATTTCAACGTTCTTCATTTGCTTGTCAAGCACACATCACACGCTCTTGCCATGGCGACTTCTAACCCATCAGATGAGTTCACCATACTCACTCCGAACGCCATGCTTGGCTACGGATATGACTCGAATCATTTCTGGTATGGCATTAACAAGTACAAGCCAAGTGCCATCATCGTTGACAGCGGCTCCACTGATGGCGGACCGTATAAGCTCGGCATGGGAAAAATGACATGCGGTCGCGGCTCTTACACACGAGACCTCGAGCCAATACTTGCAGCATGCTATCACCACAAGATCAAGGTCCTGATTGGTTCCGCTGGAGGGGACGGAAGCAATAAGCACGTCGCAGAGATGCTCGATCTGGTCAAGGAAATTGCAGAGAGCAATGGGTACTCGTTCAAAGTGGCGACGATCCAAGCGGGTATGGATCGTGAATGGATCAAGTCGAGGATCTCTCAGAATCGAGTCGGACCGTGTGGTCCCGTGGAGCCCTTGGTCTCCGAGGTCGTGGATGGTGCTGTAGATGTTGTTGCGCAAATGGGATCTGACCCGTGAGTCTGCTTATGAAATTTGGGATTGGATACTCTTAACTAACATGGAGTTGGAGATACATCGAGGCATTGGAGGGAGACCCAGACATCATCATAGGCGGAAGATCCTATGACCCTGCACCCTTTGCTGCTTTTTCAATCTCGCGTGGAGTGTTGCCCGATGTTGCATGGCACATGGGCAAGATCATGGAGTGTGGCGGCATTTGTGCCGTACCCAAGGGACGATCAATGGTCGCAACCATGAGGAAAGAGTCCTTTGACCTTACACCCTTGTCACCATCGGAACGATGCACCCCTCTCTCTGTGGCAGCGCATACGCTCTACGAGAAGACGAGACCTGACCGTCTCCCCGGCCCTGGAGGTATCCTCAACCTCGACAACGCCAAGTACGAACAAGTCACCCCCAAGACGTGTCGTGTATCCGGGGCTCGTTTTGAGACAACGCCGTATCAAGTCAAACTCGAAGGCGTCACCCATCTCGGGTATCGCACAATCTTTATCGGTGGCATCCGAGATCCCATTCTGATCGACCAGATTGACGACTTCCTGGAGAGAGTCCGCAAGTATTCCCAGAATCTGTTTCCTGAGCTGGACAAGTCGGAACAATGTCAACTATTGTACCACGTTTACGGGAAGAACGGCGTGATGGGACCGCTGGAACCAGTCCAGGGCAGTCCTTACGAGATTGCTGTGCTGGGAGAGGTCGTTGCGTCCACGTCAGAACTCTCTCACACGATTGCGAACAACGTTCGGGCTTCGATCCTGCATTTTGCGTACCCGGATCAAGTCGCGACGACAGGGAACTTTGCCAGTCCCCTGTCGCCGCATGAGCAGGATGCCGGTGCTGTGTTCAAGTTCAGCTTGTATCACCTGGTGGACTTGGATGTCGGCGAGGAGTCGTCTATTTTCCCCGTGCAGCATACGTCCATCAACTCTTCCAAGTCATCGCCAACTCCTGTACCCTGTCTTTCCCAGGAGAAGTTCGGCGAACTCGATAATGGCACCCTCGCACCTTTGACGAAGAAGGCGGTGCCTACAGAGGAGACCACGCTCAATAAGGTTGCGCGCATCATCCGATCCAAGAACTCTGGACCGTTTGAGATGACGTTTGATGTCATGTTTGACGACCCTGCCGTCTACAGGCGCGTCAAGGACGCCAATATCTTCACCAACGATACGATCAAGAAGTTGTACCGCGTCGAGGACAGCGACATCTTGACAAACATGTTCTTTGATCCCGCCCTTGCATGGAAATGCACAATCAAACGCCCATGGGCCCAAGGCAGCGTTGGCGAGCGCGATACCCTCGGGACCCAGCAGCATGCGCCTCTTCTTAGCATCCGGGTTCCTGCGGGAAAGGCAGTGAATGGAGTAACAGCAAATGGGGTTCACTCTGTGACTGGGGTTTCCAAGGGCGCTGTCAATCGAACGACCAAGTCTGTGTCGCGAGTAGATCTCACGGCGCAAGGTGTTGTGAAGGAGATCTGGGCAGGCCTCGGACTCCCTTCCGACTCCTTGGGCTCAGTGAGCTTGGAGAACAGTGGTGCCCCGACCTTGCCATCATCATTCAAGGTTGGCATCCTCGCACAAAGCTCCATCGCGTTATCAGCTCTCGCCGCATCACAAGTTCACGCCCTGCGCAACGGCGCTGCCGTTCCTAAGGTGGAGGTTCCTCTCCAGCATGCCACAGTCGAGTTCAAGTCCGAAAGACTCTACACTCTCGACGGCAAGCCTACACCATCACCATGGGGTCCCATTGGTGGGCTGCACAAGACCTCGGACGGCCATGTCCGGATCCACGATTCCTTCCCCAACCATGCCGACGGGATTCTCAAGATGGTGGGCTTGCCTGTTGGATCGAATAGACAGCAACTCTCCGATAAGGTTGCCGATTGGGCCAGCGTTGATCTTGAGACTGCTGCCACAGTGGAGGGAAAGATGGCGGCATATGCTCTGAGGTCCTATCGCCAATGGGACGCTCTCCCACAGTCAAAAGCCATCAGTGACTTCCCCATCGAAATTGCTCAACTCTCATCAGCCGGGCCTAAGGGGCTTCCCGAGAGAATGGCAGCAGGCAACTCGAAATGCCTCCAGGGTCTCCGCGTCGTCGAAATGAGCCGAGTGATCGCCGCGCCCTTGTGTGGAAAGACGCTCGCAGCTCATGGCGCGGACGTAATCTGGGTCACTTCACCGAACTTGCCCGACCTTCCGACCATGGATCGTGACTTTGGCAGAGGGAAGAGAACAGTCCAGCTGGATATCCACAATCCTTCTAACAAGGCCCAGCTCATCGAGCTGATCCAGACGTGCGACGTCTTTGTCCAGGGGTTCCGCCCCGGCAGCCTGGCCAGCTACGGTCTGTCGTCCGAGGAGCTGGTGAAGATCAACCCGTCCATCATCATCGCCAACATGTCTGCATTCGGACCGCAAGGACCCTGGTCCAACCGTAGAGGCTACGATTCGTTGGTGCAGACTTGTTCGGGCATGAATGTCTCCGAGGCAGAGCACGCCGGGCGAGGAGAATCTGCCCGTCCGACTCCCTGTCAAGCTCTGGACCATGCTGGCGGGTACCTGCTCGCAACAGGCGTCACCGCAGCTCTTTACAAGAGAGCGACGTCGGGCGGATCGTACAAGGTTGACGTTTCTCTCGCAGGCGTGATGAAATACCTGCGAAGTCTGGGGCAGTATCCCGGGGCTAGCGGATTTGAAGGAGTTGGTGACTACGAGAACCCGGAGGACGTCCCCAGCGAGTTTTTCGAGACTCGAAAGACGGGTTTCGGCCCCATGACTGCAATCAGACATAGTGCCCGGGTTGAAGGCTGCGAGGTTGGTTGGGATGTGATGCCGAAGCCGCTAGGTTCAGATGCTGCGCAATGGTTGTAACGAGTAAGAGCGCTGTGGTTCGTGTGGATCGAGCCCATGTCGTATTTAATGAAGATCTATAAAATGTGGTAAACTTGCTGCCTCAATACAACATTTTGATCAATTTAGGGTACCGTAATAATGTGCCCTTTCTGTCCTATCCTCACCGGGCTTTCCCAAACCCTGTCCCAGTATCCGTAGGTGAACACAAACCATCCTGTTACCTGGTATTCCTAATCCAACGCCTTGCTAGAACTCATAAGATGATTGACTCCTTGTCCTTCGAAGTCATACGTCACGCTTCTTACGGACGAGACCGGCCTCCAACACCTTGACTTGCGGAGTTTCCCCAACGTTCGCCGCTGCAGTCGCGGATTCGTCTTTAGACTTCTTTCGAATGAGCCCCGTACTGAGGACGTTAACCTTCGTCGCCGGCTCATCCGAGGTAGGAGTCGCGGAGTCCTCCGGGCGCTTGCGCTTAATCAGACCCGAGATGACATTCACGGTGTTCGCCGAAGAGCCATTTGACGCTGGTGTTGGAGTCTCCTTCCTGCCCACAACCTGCATGCCCCAATTGTCTCCCATGCCGACCTCGCTGATCCATCGCCGCGTGCCGCTAGCTGCAATCTCTGGTTTGGCAAAGTCTAGGCGTAGGAGGAGCTCATTGACTCTCTTGTAATCGTTCTCATCGATAATCTTGCGGCCCCTACCCTCAGCAGGCCAGTAGTAGTAGGCAGTCGAGATTGGCTTGTCTAGCAGGTAATTACGCTGTTGGGTTTTGATGCGTGGCTGTCTTGACTTGACGACTCCCGTCAACTTGGACTTGTTCTTCTTATGTTTGTTTTTGCTCTCAGGCTTCTCGGGTTTAGTCTTCGTCTTAGTCGGTGTGCCGGAAGGTGACACGGGGAAGAGCTTGCGAGGAGTGGACATGGGTGTGACGGGCCGTACTGCCTTCTGCTTGCTAGGCGTGACGGGCGGGTTGGACGCATCGAAAGAAGGGTTCGGCGTTGGGAGATTTGCAGAGGCACTGTCAGTTTGCACTTGCTCGGCCTCCTCATCAAAGACAACCCAGATGAAGCCCGTCAGCCGACCGCTGGAACATTCTTGTCTGTATGCCATCATTTCCCAGAAGGTATCCAAGCTCTTCACGCTCTTCCATTGTCCAGTGGTCTTGATTTGCTTTGACTTGCCCGCTTCTTCATCCAGCTCGTCTCGGAATCGGGATTTTGGATCGTCTGGGAACCGGGGGATAAGGCATCGTGCGGGTACCCAATCGTACTCCTTGGTGTAATGCGAGATCTTCTCGAGAGCGTGACCCAGGACCCAATTTGTCGCGCTCTTGGGGGTCTTGGGCAGGAAAGCCTTGGTTTCGTAATTGTCAAGTCCCGGGATGACGAGGTAGCCTTTGACAGTACCCCATGGAGCTCCCTTTCCCACGGGAGGGTTCTCCAAAAGAGGATCCAGGACTTTGCACCACCACTTCACTAATCCTGTGTCATCGAGCACATGCTTGCCATTATACTCGACAGAGCCAGGGAAGAGGTATTGGTCTTGAGCCCGCGCAAAGAGACTAACGATGGACTGAATGCCCTTGCGCCTGCGCTGCTCGACCAGGTACGAAACAAAGGCACTGCTAATCTCCTTGATTGGCGATGAGGTGCCTTTGGGAAGGTTGAGAAGCTTCAGGTAGCCGGTTGAATCGGCTTTGGCAACGAAGAACGTGCTCGAGTATGCAGTCGTGTAGATGTAGACCTCTAGCGCGAGGACAAGAACTTGCTTCGAGGTAGTCTCCTTTGCTTCAAGCGCAGCGTCGGTAGTGCTTGAGGGAATATCGATGGATATTGCAAGGAAATGCTTTTCACAAAAGGTCTTGTCTTCTCGCTCTTCGGGAGGAGCTGAGTAGAGGGCGTCCGTCTTGGTCGGAGGAGTTGAGAGGTGGTAGATGCCGAAGCGGTAGCCCTTGGGCAGAACAGCGGAGAGTTTCTCAAGAAGAAGTGCACTGCTCTGGGCGGTGGTCTTGGTTCGGCTTGGAGTCGCCATGGTGCTTAGCTTGGGATGGAAGCTTTTCTGTTGGGAATTGGTTCTTCCGAACAGAATGTCATGTCATGGTTGTCAATTGACGAAAAGGCTGAAAGGAGTTGAACTTGAGGGGTTGGTCGAGCAGGCTGAACAAGCTGCAGGACCGTCCCTTCCCCTTCCCTTCCTTTGAGGGACGCGTCGCAGCTCTTCACATGCGTGTCAGAAATAAGTGGAGAAACGCGTTGACTTTAATTGAAAGGAAGCTGCGAACATTACCTAAGCCAGGGAGTACTTGTAAGGTACGTTCCCACGTTAGGTAAGAGGACCGTGCTTGGCTCAGGAAGCCACTAGACCCCATGGCGACTAGCGCCGGTCGCTGCATGATCCGCCTTCCGCGCGATGCCACGTGACGTCGAGAAATTGTTCCGAGCGCCCATCGCGAAAAAGTTCCCAGCATCAGGAGCTCTAGCTATACGACGGTACGCCCACACCGAAATCCGCACCACACCGTCGTCCCTCCCTCGCCGACCGCCCCCAATGGCAACCAACGGCTCCCGGTCAGCATATAGCCTCACGAGGCAAGCCGCGAGGCATTGCCAATCGGCGGCAAATTCACGAGTCGTCTCTCCTATCCAATGCCTCTCACGATCCTTTGCGACGACCAGCTCTCGAAAGGAGGCCGAGGCGGAGAGCAAACTCGACCAAATGTCACGGAAAACCGCAGAGGCTGAGAGGCCCGACGAGATCAGACAGCGCCCGAGATGGTCATACACTCCCGAGGGAATGAAGGCACCCTTCTCGCCTCATATCACCAAGAACCCGGCACGGAGTGTTTGGAAGGTCAACGAGGATCCCAAGAAGCTGGATCAGATGTACGTGAAGCTTTTGGGCAGAGATGGAGACAAGATGCTGCCGGATGAGACCAAATGGCTGGCGGTCACGCACAAGAGTTTCGACCAGGGTCGCCGAGGATTCAACGACAAGCTGGCATACTTGGGTAAGGACACACGACATTGCTCCCAATCAAGCTTCATTTGCGACAATTGCGTGCGGGAAAAAGGAAAAAAAGGCACACGAAGCTGACTTGAGCCATTGGGCAACCTACTACAGGTAGACAGGCGGTTATTCTCGAGACCACGAACCGCATAGTGACGGGGACCGACCCCTTGAAGAAGGCAATCGTTCCGGAAAAATCGTACCAGCGAACACCCTTTGAGCACCCGGCCCTCACGAGAGTCGACAACCTCAACGCCGAGCAACCCCAGAAGATCGTTACGAAAGAAAAGGTCGAGGCGCTGGCGCTCGCTGCCGGTCTCGACAAAGTTTTGCGATGGAAGCCGGCAAAGGTAAGCCCAAAACTCACAGCTCCCCTTCCTCCGTCTCATCGGGCCCCCCTCCGGAAGCGACGACACCCTCTTCTGGCTCTGTTTTCTAACAATGTCGTCTCCAGCCCGAAAACCTTTCAGGCTCTGGCCAGCAAATTGTTCTCAACTCGGCAGTCTTTGCTATCGTAGGAGCCATCACCCTGCAGCACGGCGCCGAAGTGGCAGGTAGAGTTATCAGGGACAGAATATTGAGGCCGCTCTCGGCGAACCGGTAAAGCCGCTAGAAGAGAGACGTCTGTTGTATCATAGGTGTAAAACATTTGACAAAAAGGACATCAATCCCAGCTGCGGCGCAAGAGAGGCAGCGGAAGCAATATTTTCTTCGTTTTCCCGCAGTCATGACGCTGTGCTGTCGCCGGACCGCGCACAACAAATGTAACAAAAAGGATCAGAGGTGAACGAATATAGAAGTATATCCCAATGTGGAAGACGCTTTGCCACTCAACTTACTTTGGGTTCCTTGATAGGACCCGTGGTCAGGTGCATGACATGGGAAATGGCGCAGTCCGGAGGCTGCCAGGCGAGCCTAATGACCCATCCGTCGGTTGTCGAGTGAAGGGCCCAGGCGAGGTCTCCATCGCGGATACGGGTTGTCATTTCCATCGTGACGAGGTTATTCACAACCGATTGGTCGACGCCTTTGCCAAAGACTAGCGCCTTTCGGACCATACTGTTGTTCGGGGTCTTTGTGGCCATGCCGGACGAGGCACGGTGCCAGTCAAATGTGTGAGACCCAGAGCCAGAGTCACGTAAACTAGCGAGACCAACATCGCCGGTCACAGCGTGTACATAGCCTTCGCCGAGTAGACGGGTTATCTCAGACGTGGATCTCGTGCAGAGGACAAAGGTTTCGAGGCAGGCAAAGGATTCATTCAGGGTAGCCATGCCAAACCCTGGATCTGGATCAACCTGCCAGATGCTCTGGGGCCAGTCATTCGATCCGTAGTGCGCGACCCCTCTGCCCAATGGATCGTGGGCGAGCAGGTCGCTGGCAAGGATGGGCATAGTGAGAGACCTGGTGGCGCCCTGGTAGAGCACGAGGTCCCAGTCAGGGTTGATGTAGATCCGGTCCCACGCCGGGTTTCTATGCTTCAGATCCGGGAACCCGTGGCTGTCGGGCGCCAATGACCTCATCGGCAAACGGATCCTGAAGAAGGACACGGCTTCGCGGCGTGACTCGTCGCACACGCGAAAGAGCGCCGGGCTCCTGTTCTCGCAGTACCAGTTTGCGTTGCACGCCATGTTGCCCAGGTCGTTGCCGGAGGCCTGGACCCCCGAGCCGCCTGGTACGCCTCTGATCACGACGATGCGTGGCCGTTCCAGGTGCATGCGCCAGATCTTGCGTCGTAGCTCATAAGGCAGGTCTGGGAAGCGATGAAAGACTGAATCTTGTTCGTAACCGTAGCTGCTGCGGCTCCTGTTGGGTATCAGCGATGCTGTATCCGCAGCTGTGGTCGTCGTAGTCGTCGTCGGCCCGCTTCCCGAAGCGGCAACCCAGGTCCGCAGGTCGAAACTTTCACACGCCTCTAAAGTCTTCCAGGGTGTCGAGGGCGTTTTCCGGATGGCGGGCGGAGCATGGATGTCCGTGGTTCGGAGGCCCCCATCTTGGTGCTCGGCCTCAAACACCTCGGCGTCATGCTCGTCTTCAGCCTGGGGAGGCGGAGGCTGGCGTGATGTTGACCGAACTGGTAAATCCATCGCCTGATGTGACGGAGCAGACGCCGTTGAGTATGATAGACTGCCAGCGTCAACGGCGTCGAGAGTCGGCCTTATTGGGTCCGCGGAATCAAAGTGTCAGACAGACGCTAAGTTTCTGAAAAGTTCGGGGGACGACGCTAGCGATAGCTCAGACGACCTCTGAGCTAAGGTAAAGTGCTTCACTGCGCAATGGAAGATGCCGATGAGCGATAGGGTCAACTGTATCAAATTGAAAATGAGTGTATCCGTACAGCCTCAGTCTCCAGTCTGTATCGTGGTGTAGCCTCAAGTGTGGGGTGGGAGGCAAAGGCGCTGGAAGGGGAAATAAGGGACGACGTGTGTCTGACAGTTGGAGAAGGTTCCACGACAGTGAAATGCGTGATGCGTTTGGGCTTCACAATACGAACGCGGACACGATGAGGTGGTTCCCCTTTTGAGTTGAAGAGACGGGGATGATGCGAGTTGTCGATGAGTTAATAATCAGTGCCACCTCGTTCTAGAAGGGAACCTCTGCGGTCAACCGGCTGACTAAACTTCCTCTAGAGGCACCGTACTCGGCTCCGTCTTTTGTAGGAAAAGACCCCTTTGCAGGGAGTTACCGCTTTTGGAAATGGTTTGCGGGCAGTTTGCGAGAACTGATGGGAGAGATTCTACCGCAAGCCGGGGGCAACCAGGAAGAGGCCCGGCTGACATGTCTGGCAGTTGCATCTTAGCGCCTGAATGACGCTGTGACCCGCCAATGCCCAAGTCATTTCTTGTTGTTCATGAGTTGTGTCTGCTGGTTTCCCCTGTCAGATTGTGTCAGATCCCATCAAGCACTCACAGACTCTACACAGAAAGCATGTGCGCGCCCGACACAATCCTCATCGCCACGGCGGGAACCGTTGTGATGTGCTACATGGGTCCCTTGTCCAGGCTTGTGTCCTCCTCTTTGGTCGTCTTGGAACGATTGCAAACAGCCTTAATCGCCATTAGGTACTCTCAGCCGGGCTACAGCTACAGTCTACGGATGATGGGCATGGCCATTAGCCAATCACCGAAGAGTCTTTGCAACTTCACACAACCGTCTGAAACTTGCAAACACCAGCATCTTCAACTGACAACCTGCTTCTCCATCGTCTGTGGCTCCCATCTCAAACTCTGCCCATCCCCTTTTTGCCCTCCCTGGCGCTACGCTACAAACTACAACGTCCACTTACTAGTACCAAGTATTCTAATGAACGACTTGCCTTATTGAGCCCGTATCTCGTATACGCATCCCTTCCCTACTTCGCATCGCTCCAAAGTACTCTGTTCAAGCTTCAATGTCATCCGCGCCGCCCTTGTCGGTACTCGGACGCATCGACACTATGCTATAACAACATAGCCGTCGAGGTCGATCTAATGGAACACGACTCTCTTTTGACTTTGTTTGACACAAGCCTATGGCTTACTGTAACTTTTAGAGAAACGCTCTTGGCTTCGACCTGTGCGCTCTTAAGCCTGTAAATGACAGAACTCTCGCGGCTGTAGGCTATACCCCAGCTTCTCCCCGATAATGACTGCAAGTCCCAAAGATGACTCTGCCACTTGGACGATGCGTGAAGCAAAAGGCCTGATTGAAGTCGTGAAACCCGGGGCTGTGGCTGCAACTCTGCCACTCACTTCAATGATTCGGCCCCGGCTAGACATGTCTGGGATTCTCGCAAGGAGCTTCCCACCTTTCCAAGTTCCACCAGACTCCAGTCCACCCCGGTGCGGACCATGTCAGGGTCTGAGTGGAGCGGAATCCCGCCGCATATGGCAAGTGGCATCTCGACGTACCCTGAGTAAAGATCGACGCTCCATGTTTTAGGCTCGAGGGAATCATGGTCATCGGAGCTTCTTGTATAGATAAGTCCCTATCCGTCTCCAGATGTTTCTACTAGATGCCCGTGGCTTTTTTCACCCATCTAGCCATCATCCCCATAGGTGCTGGTTCAAGAAACACATCTTCGTTTCCTTCGTACACGACTGCTGGCAGCCCTTTTTCTTTCTAGTTGACTGCCTTTGATACCCTATTCTGTTTCTATTAATGCCACGGTAAATTCTTTTTCACGCCTATTAAGCAAAGTCCATTACTTCACATCATCATGGACATGTATGACAAAATATCTGGGGATGTTACGGAGAAACCCCAGGTTCCTCCCCCTCCACTAGCCCCAAGGCATCAGAGACTCACAACCTTTTGCATCGGGTTCTTGATGGTATTCTCCATCTTCAGTGTTGGCAGAGAGGTCAAAGACTACTTCTACCAGGAACCTACCCTCAGCAGCCGATCGATAGCGAAACGAGAAATGGGTTCCTGGGGCCAGGCCATCGACGCTATGGTAACCCCAGATACCGTCGAAGCTATCAGTAACGACCCAAGGCTAAGAAGAACATTGGTGTCTGTGGTCGATTATACCTTTGACCTCACAGATCAACTCGTCGCCCGCTATGAATCTCCTCAACTCCAGGAGACAAGAGAAGCATTGCAAGAGTACAAGGAGCAGATTAGGAGGAGCCTCGAAGGTCTGAGAGACGGCGAAGAAAGCTCAAGTCAACTCCATAAACGACAGCTCCCAAGTTTTGGGGAACTCTTTGGAGCGGCCGTCTCTGGAGGTAGAGCCGATAGTGGCGGTGGAGGAGGAGGCGGTGGACTTCCAAACCCGCTCAACCTCCCACTCCCTGGGGCACCGGGTGGTTCTCCCGGAGGGGGTACTGGTCCTCTAGGCCTCCCAGGTCTCCCAACTCCAGGAGGCGGTGGTGCTGATGGAGGCGGGATGTCAGCGGGCATACTCAGCGGCCTGCTCCAACCCCTAAAAGACGGGCTCAGCAACGTTGGGAACCAACTTGTCGCCAACCTCAACGGCCCAGGCATGTTCCTCGGCATTGGCGTCGGAGCCGGAGCGGCTCAGGGGCTCAACCTGTCCACACAAGCAAAGACGATGGAAGTGGCAGCAAAGGTTGCTGCAGACAACAAGATGGAAGCCACCGGCCTCAACCCAGCCATCCAGAACCTGGGCGTGGGACTGACTTCCACCCTCATTGGCGCCATCGACTTCAACAGCCTAGGCGGCAACCTCACAAACCAGCTGCAACCCATCGCCCTGTCTCTCGCAACAGGTCTCGGAAATGGCACAGTCGCAGGCCTGAAGTTGAACGCCAACGCCGCGAACCTCGAGCCCGTAAATGATTCGTCCATCCCCAACGTGATCGGTACCTTTGGATTCGGTCTCACAAAGACCGTGACGGCCAACCTCGACATCAACCAGCTCTTCAACTCGGCCAACAACCCCAACACCACCAAGCAAATCATGCGAATCCTCCCGGCCGCGGCTTCGGGCTTCGGCAAGGGTCTGGGCCAAGGTGCGACGGTAGGATTGGGCCTACAGCCAGACACCGCGGTACCGATGCAGCAGATGCCTGACGACCAAATCGACTTTGGCGGTATCTCGCAAACGTTCGCCAAGGGTCTGACGAGCAGCTTCCTCCAGAACGGTACCGCGACCGAGTTGCTCAACAAGGTGGGTGGGTCGATGAACATGAACCAGAACGGCGGAGGGATTCCGGCGACCATCAAGTTTAACGGCATGGACATACAAGTCAGCAAAGTCGCGCAGGGCTTCGCTCGCGGCTTCCTCCAGGGCGCGGGTGATGCGATCCAGGGCATGGGCGGCGTGCAGTCTCTCTTCGAGGGTAACGCCACCATGCCCACCGGCGCGATGCCCGATGCCAAGCTCCAGTTTGACGACTCGCTCGGCGGAGCTGCCAGTGGTTTCGGAGTCGGGATCGGTGGGCAGGGCGTCCTCGTCGCGTATGGGCTGGCTAGCAAGCCGCGAGGAAACACTCAGCCTGCCGCGAGTGTGCCGGCGGCACCGGCTGCTAGCACCCCCGCCCAACGCCGAGATGTCGAACTGGTCTCGAGACAGGATCCCCCGCCGGTTGTCTCCGTCAACACCACCGAGGGATTCAACCTGTCTGTCGTGATCAACGCGCAGACCATTTCGATGGCTGCTCAAGCCGGTGTCAACGCCCTTACCTGTCAAGGCGTGGGTGGTTTGGGCCTCATTGGCTTTGGATTGATCCGCAGCAAGACCATTGCATTGGATTCCTTCAATAATGGAAACGTGACGAAGACTGCGAAGCAAGTGATTCCGACTGGGATCATCAAGATTTCCAACGAGGGGCATTCGTACGCCATTGACGGACAGGTGATCCGGGACTCTCTTGGAAACTCGATCATCAACGCTGCGAACGGCATCGAAGTCAATGGATTCAAGTTGCCAGGCTGGATCGCCTTCTTGGTTCTTCACAGTAAGTCATGCTCTGGTAGTGACCCCCCTGTTACTCAACTAACATTCGCACCTCGCCAGTCCTCTTCGCCATCATCGCCTACATCAACGTCCTTCCCTTGGCCATCGGGCTGGAGCACATGCGCAACCTCCTCCTTCGCATCAACGCCCCTCCAATTCTGCCAAAGATCGAAAAATGGAATAACATTATGTGGCTCTTCGTGATGGGCCCTTCAGTGGTTGTCGTTCTCATCTTTGGCATACTCGTGACTGCGAAGTCGTCTCATTTTCGCACTGCCCACGGTGTAAGTCTTCCCCTTGGCCAACTTTAGGCCAGGAACACCGCTTGCTAACCCACATCTCAAACAGATCATAAGCCTCTTCACGACCCTAGTAGGTTTGGCAGCCTTCTTGATGCACCTGGCCATCAAGGCCCGCGCACCTCCAGGACTCCCAAATACCTCCCGCTCCGGCCCCACGCCACCAGCGCCCCCCCTCAGCCTCCCCATCATCCGCGTCATGGTCAACCAGCTCTTCTTGATTCTCTCATTTGCCTCTGTCATCACTGGATTTGCCGATCTCAGCTCCGTGGCCCTATGCTTTACGCAGGTTGTTCCTTTCGATCTGGCGCTGGTCATTGGGTTTAGTCTGTCTACGGTCTTCGTCCTGGGATCCACCGTCTCGGGACTCGACATTGCGCTTACTGTTCGGGTCTTTTTGAGGCACAGGAAGGCCCTGAAAGGTAGTGATAAGGCGATTGCCGCCGCAAGTGACACGGAGAGAGGCGGTGTCATGCAGGGCAAGATTTTGCAGCCAGCAATGGTGGACGAGAAGGGCGCATTTGCATAGCTGCTCGGATTTTGCTTGTGTGAGCTTCAGAGACTTTGAGCTGTGCTCAGTCTTTCTTATTTCATTCTATGCTCACTTTGTACTGTATATAACGCACCGGCGCATGGCCTTCTGGACGAGAAAAAATACGGGACTTTGGACGGGATCATGGATAGGAGTACGGTTTGGGATGGACCGAGACTGCATGAGGATCACACGTACTCTGACATGACAGATATGACCACAGCGGAGATACTCCTGACGACTCTAGTGCTGCGGAAAACGGGGCGGCCTTGACTCTCATTATACCCAAGCTTGCTTCAGGAGGCAGGCTTTGAATTTCATACCCAATTGGCCGATTCAGAACGTCTTGCTTCTTTCGCTTGGTGAAGGGACACGGGCATATCTATCGCAGAATATGTTTTCAACACTCTAAACTCATCTCTTATGGTATTTTGGTAAATCTCCCTTTGCCCGCATCTTGCTGTTGTTGGGTACTTTTGACACAGCTCTTGTTCTACTCGAATACTCCTGTGTCAAGAGTCAACTGATACTCTCTCGCTCACCACTCGTCAACTCAGTCGTCATCCCATAAATGCCAGCTGCTACTAGGCCTCACATCGAGCACAGACCTCCTCTTCTTCCGCGGTCCCGCAACCTCTCGGCCGTTACTCAAAAAGAACTCTTCCGTCTCGGAACCGGGTATCTGCCTCACCATTCCCAGCCCAGCAAGATCTGTCTTTGTGCACTTCATCCTCAAATGGCGGAAATACTTGCGGTAAAACATCCTCTGCATGACCAGATTATCAGCCACGTTCTTGGGCAAATAGTCTCCAAGCTGCGTTCGCAACGCCTCCAGCGCCGTGCGCTGGTTGATCGCATCGGGGGGCTCGTAGTCGTTGCTCAAGAGCAGCCGCGGCACATCGCGGTAGAATGCGTTCTTGGCCGGGATGCCGCTGGTGAGGTAGCCCTCGTGAATCATCCACACCGGGAACCGGGCCGCCGCGCGATCGTCCATCAGCTGGATCGCTTCCGTGTAGGATTCCAGATTTGCCAAGCTCTCTGCCAGCGGCGCACACCCCGGAACGGGCGTCAGGTCCCACGTCTCCGGCCCGCCCCTGTCGCGGGTGCCGAAATGTCGGATCCCTACGCCGAGCGGGTCGAATGCGAGGCAGTCGCTTAGGAATATGTCAAGGGGTATCTCGCTGCTCCAGGGGAATGTGAAGATGACGGTGTCAAAGTCCGGGTTGATGATGACGGGCCAGGCGATCTTGTTGGTTGGGTGCATCGGTAGCTGAACGCGGTAAAATGCGCGTGTCTCGGCGCGGCATTCCCTGTTTACCCACATCAGGGCCGGGAGCGTGTTGTCTGCGCTCCATGCAATGTTGGAGGCGAGGTTTCCAAGTGCATTTGGCGCGAAATGAATCTTTTTCAAGTCGTTCATGCATCGAATCTCTACGATGCGCGGCCGTTCGAGATAGAAGCGCAGGATCTTGGACCGAAGCTCCGGTGGGAGGCGGGCGAAGGGATGGAATGCAGTGAGGGGACCAGGGGTCTCGGCAGAGCAGCAGGGGGCCACTTGCTGAGCTACGGGAAGTTCAAAGGAAATCTGCGATGGCGCAGCTGTTGGCGGTGGACCAGGAGGAGGGTGTGTGATTGTCCAAGGACCATACGGGACCCCGGACCGGAACTGGAACCGGTCCTCGGGCTTGACCGGCGTCGGGGGCCGATGGAGGTCAACATGGCGGCGCTGTCCGCACGTGGGACACGGCGCTGAGGACGACGGGAAGTTTCCGATGGAAGCACCGACACTCACACTGAGTGAAGTGGACGAGGATGACGACGAACTCGAAGGTACGGTGGTGGTCTGAGCGGTGGTTGATGTCGCGGGCGAGTGCGAGGCGGAGGTGGCAGCGGTTGAGGAGGAGAGCCCGGAGTCCGTCACGGCATCTGACTCGCTGGGGTGCGCAAGCGTTCCTGAATGCCGCAGCGTGCGACCCTGGCTGCTGCGAACATTGTGGTGGTTGTGATTGCGTGTCGCGGTTTGAGTGCCTCTCTCAAGGCTTTGGTCCGTCTCCCCCCCTACATTTGGTGGTGGCGGTGGTACTGCTGATGATGTTGCTGCTGCTCCTGCTGCTCGCGGCGAATCCTTGCGTGGCCGGATACGAACAGAGAGACCCTTCAGCCAAATCTTTTTCCATTTCTTCTTCAGTTGCTGCTGCTGGTCGCCATCCTGGTTCTGTTCTTTGGTCCGGAGCTGGGATGTGACCCCGTTCAAGTTGCTGTTTGCGTCGGGCGCCATGGCGGGGTGAGTCGGGCGAGGAGCCCTCTTCCCGGTTGAAGCGTCCTCCCGTCGGTGTTCCCTCGTATTCCCGAACCGCCAATGATGGCCGTCTTTTGGTGCTGTGAGAACAGCGATAAAGCGTAACAGCTTCGCCGGTGATGAAGTTAGATTCTGCTGTTCAGTGACTTGTTGAGAATCCAGGCGGTGAATGGCGTAGTCGCTGTTTATGCGCTGTGCTGATGCTGCCGCCGATGGCTGTTGTGAGGCTGGGTGAGAGAAGTGGGGTTCCTCTGGGCAAGTCGAGGGGGAAGAAGAGCTAGAAAGCGAGAATCGGGTGGTAAAAGGATGATGGGGAGGAGACGCGGTAGTAGTGCGGGTGGGAGACGCGGGGGAGGAGGAGGACATGTTGGTCAAGTTAAAGTTCATCCATGAGCCACGGCCGCGTCTGGAAAGGTCAATGTTCAGTCACGTCGTAAGGTGGTGTCGGTGTGTAGCCGATGTGATGTGGTGGTCAATGGTCGTCTTCGGAACAGCTTGCTCGCACGCTCTCAGGCACAGAACATGTTCATTGGTAATGGAACTCAACAGCTGCAGTGCTCACGGCTCGGCTCAACTCACAGGAATGCGCTGGGCGGTTATGAAGAGTCAGGCTGACGGGTATGTGACGGAAGAACTGGGCAGGATTCGAAGAAGGAAGACAGGCACAGGCACAGGCACAGGCACAGCAAGGAATTGGCTTTGCGACATGCAGGCATGACCGTCCGAGATGCGGTGCGATCACTGCAGCTGCAGTACCTACCGGTTCGTTCTGTGGCCTCTTCCCACATTGTGGTTCCTTGGCCTGACGGTCGTTTGGTTGCAGGCCGTGGCCAGCTGAGGGGGAACGCGCACTGAGACAAGCTTTTGTTGGAAACGGAGAAGGGGGATGTTTGGGACTGCAACCAACCAGAGACGCAGTCAGCTCTCTGCAGTGAGCTCTTCCAAGTTCCCAGCCTCCCTGAGCTTGATCATTGATGACAACTCAAGCCCTCGGTCAATCCATCATCTAGCTACACGTTCACCTGTCAGCCTGCCACGTTTAGCTAGTACACTTTAGTCAAACGAAGCCCCTTCCAATAGTGTCCGGCATCTGTCGCAAGCTGCTTCTTCCAGTTGATTTACCCATCTATTCTTACCTGAGCGTCTCCAAAGGAATCGAGAGAGTACGGACCATCTGTGCCCGATCTCAACCTTGGAACGCCGTTACAGCGCCCGCCTAGACCTCCCACGTGCTGAAACGTGCAAAGGGGGCGGATGCGACGTTTGGCCGGAAGAATGACGCCGATGCCTACATCTTTTTGCCTTGAGACTTTGCGGTGGTGAGAAGAATACTTATATATTCTGCTGCTGTTTGTACATAAAATGGATAAATGGCCATGTGCACGCTTGGAGCGCCGACCGCCGCAGACACAAATGTCAAGAGCAGCATCTTACCTGCATTAGCACAATCGAACATTCAGATTCCAGAATATGTGAGTGGCAGCAGCCGGATGTTTGCCGTCAAAGAACTTGAAGTTTTGGTCTTTTCGCCATTACATTGCCGAATCGAGCCCCGAGCGACCGGACACCCGGACCCGTGTGGATCCCGGATGTTGCACCCGGAAGTGGGCCCGAGACCGGAGCCGACCACCGAAGGAGAAGACGAGCGACTCACATATTGATTTATTAGATGCGCAACCAGAATGAATGAGCTTTAATTCCCCAAATAAGCCTCAAGGAGTTACCAACATGATTCATTTCTTAGTAAAGAAGTATGTCATGTTGACTATAAGCACTCCCGTTTAAGATGAGGCGTTGTAATCTTCTTGACTGCCATCCATAAAAGTCACAGGCGAGGCCGGTTTCACAGAACAGGGCAAAATATTTTATGTGGCGAAACACACGCTTTATTATCTATATCGTCAAATCGTTTGTCAAAGGTCCATCCATAGCCGAGCAGAGAGATCCGAAGATGCTCCCAAAAACCGCTAGGCCACTATCGAAGAAAACCACTTCCCCTACCACAAACCACCACTGATAACCATTAACAGACCCATAGTAGAGTCAAGAGAAGAGAATATCCATCCATGCTCAGACGAGTCCCTTACAGAAGAACAGCGGCAGCAAGAACGCTGAAGGCAAGAGCGCCGAAGCTGGCAGCGAACTTGCTGGTGCCGGCCGTGACGACGGGGGGCTTGGCAGTGGCGGTGCCGGTGGGGTTGCCGCCCGCGGGGGGAGCAGCAGAGTTGGCCGGGGGAGCTCCAGCAGGAGGGGCACCGGCGGGAGGGGCACCGGCAGGGGGAGTGCCAGCAGGGGGAGCACCGGCAGGAGGAGTGCCAGCAGGAGGAGCACCGGCAGGAGGGGTACCAGCGGGAGGAGCACCAGCGGGAGGAGCACCAGCGGGAGGAGAGCCGGCCGGGGGAGCACCAGCGGGGGGAGCACCGGTGGCAGGGGGGTTGGCGGCGGGCTTGGTCTCGGTGGCCGGGACGTAGGGAGTCTTGGTGACGGGGGGCTGGGGGATGACAATGGTGCTGCAGGTGGTGCCATCGCAGCCAACAGTGGTGACGGGAGGAACGGGGATGACAACCTTGCAGGAGTCGCCGGAGCAAGGAGGCTGGGGAACGGGGCAGGAGCCGTTGCAGCCCTTGACCTCGATGTACTTGTCGTTCTTGTACTCGTACTTCTTGTTGGCATCTGCGTACGGGCAGGACTCGAAGACGCAGGAGTTGTCCTTGCAGACGTACTTCTTGTTGCACTCATCGCCGGAGCAGGACTCGACCTTGCAAACGTTGCCGTAGCAGACAATCTTCTCGGAGTCGAAGTCGGATCCCTTGATGACATAGTCGCACTTGCCGGAGACACACTTGATCTTGCGGCCGCAGTCGTATCCGGAGCAGACCTCAGGGTGCCAGGTGCCATCAACCCAGACGAGACGGCGCTGGCAGTCGGCACCGTAGCAGGGGTAGTCGAAACCGCAGTAGTCACCGTAGGCAACAATCTTCTTGTAGCAGTCATCACCGTAGCAGGGAACGCCGAAGCACTTGCCGTTGGAGCACGGGTTGGGAGTGGGCTTGTAGCAGAAGGGACCCTGGCAGTCCTGGCACAGAGGGCAGTAGGTGGTGGTGACAGTGGTGACGCCGGTGGAAGCGGTACCATCGATGGTGGCGGTGGTGGTGGCAGTGAAGGTGGTGGTGACGGTGGCAGTGGTGGTGACATCGATACCGCCATCAACACGGATGTAGATGGTCAACAGGATCTCAGCAGAGATAAGCTGGCGCTTCAGGGATCCGCTGGTGTTGCGGCCACCACAGCGCTCGCCAGAGTTGCCAGGGCAAGCGATGTTGCATCTATCCTCAGAGACACGGGTGGCAGTGGCATCGCTGACGATGTCACCGCAGAAGCAGTCAGAGCCAAACAGACCGGCGTAGCGCTTTCCAGCGGGGCAGGAAGCGACGCAAAGCTCGAGGGTCATGGAAGAGGCAGACAGGACCAGGTCGAAGGTAGGGAAACCAGTGGTAGAGCCGAAGCAGCCAAGGAGGGAGAAGTTGCCAACGTTGCTGGGGTTGGGGATGACGGTGGCAGACGGGGTGGCAGACGACGAAGTCGAGCTGGTCTCGGTGCCAGTGCCAGTGGCGGTAGCGGTGTCAATCGTAGTCGACTCATCGGTGGTGATGGGAGGCACCTCGGAGCTGCTGGTGGTGTCAATGGTCGAGACAATGTCGGAAGTGGTGATGGGGACCTCAGTCGTCAGAGTGGTGTCCGAGCCAGTGGAGGTGGTCAGACTGCTGATTGTCGTCTGGCCAGTTGAGGTGGTCTGGATGGTGGTCACCGACGTGGAACCCGAGAGGGTTGTGGAGAAGGACGAGGTGGTGAGCGACGAGCTGCGAGTGGTGGAGGTCGTGGTGGTGTTGGGGAACAAGGGAGAAGAACTCTGTCCCATAACCAACTGGCCCATGAGGGCGACGAGAGCCGTGCGACGCATGACTAAGCGAGTGACGAAAGCAAGTAAAAGAATGACTAGACCTCGGGTCGTAAACGAGTGAAACGAGGTAAAGAGAGAGGAAGAGAGGAGCTAAGGATGCGGAGTGTAATGATGATGAGGGTGAGGAGGGAAAGAAAAGTTGGACAGAAGCTGGAGAATCTTGTCTTTCTTATACCTTCTGGAAACTCCCTTTGCTTCCCTCATGTCAGGCAAATATTCATCTCATCGTAAACGATGTCTCTGGCGTCTCTGGCAGCTCCAGTCTGCCCATGGGCCATACCTCTCTCCCTTGCCATGGGGCATTGTCTCCTGAGTGACAAGATGAGTTTGCATGCCTTGGGCCAACACAGAGTTTCCTACAGCAAGCGCCACCAAACTCAGTCTCCGTGTCTCGTCTTTTCCATTCTTCCGCTCTCGTGTCTCGTTCCTCGTCGTTCGTGTTGAGTTTAGTCAGGAGGTTAGGAATGGATCACCTCGGTCAGGAACTCATCAGTTGGCAATGTCTCACCTTCTCCGCAATCCAACGAGGGAGACCGCCTCAACAAGGGACCAATCAATAGGTCCGACGAAGAAAAGGAAAAAAAACAAAAACCAACATCGCTAAATTTCAATAAGCGTGCATTCCCGTCCGCTAAGCTTGGAAATTGGGTCTTGTCTGTGGCGTTCCGCCCGGCGCCCTCCCGAGCTTTCTCGTTGACGACAATGAACATCTTCGGTATCCCTGGGCCAGATCTTACCACCTGGAATCTGCCAAATTGCCCGTATCCATTCTCAGTCTCGGGCACCCGACCTCCTTTTGTCGCACCGGCCCCGCTCCGGCGTCTCCAGTCATGTCCCCAAAACCGATATGGCCCTGTCTATCACCATGCGGCTCTCGATCTTCCGATCCATTGGAACCAACCGCCGGTCAGCGAGTCATACATTGAATTTGATGGTCTCGGCCCGTTGAGTGTATGAAGTGGAGACGGAGCCCGCAGCGGCAAAATGCACGATATCATCCCTCGCTGGTGCATTCTTTCTTATTCTCGGCACTAAATGGGGCAGAGAGGGAACATGACGGCATTAGTTCTCCCCAAACAGACTTAAACTTACGAGGCGAGAGAAGTCTGTTGTTGTCCCTACATAAGCGAGCAATTTTAAAGGCCGGTTGCCCTCGTGACTACCCCACACTCTGTCCCTCGTTGAGCCAACCTTAGATTCCGGATGCAGGCCATTGAATGTCTGGATAATTGTGAATAGCAGAAGTGACATATTTGAGATTCCAGGAAAGCCCATTCCGCTCGTATCCATTGTTAGCCCCCAGTGTTTGCAATGGATTGTGGATGCCTCGACATCCACATTGTCAGCGTCTCAACGAATGCAAGGCGTAAGGCAAGAATAGATTCAGACCGAGGACAAATGGAGTATGATCGAGTCAACTCCTCTTACACAAGAGGGAGTGTCTTTGCATCATGATTTGATCGCCTCGAAATACCGGTGAGGAGGGAGAACTTGACGGTCCACGTCCAGACCTTTTGGTGCATACACTTGACGCTTGGCACCTGCAAACCCGAGCCCGGCCTGGAAAACAATAATACCCACTCAGACACATCAATCCTATCAAAGGTGCAAGTTTAGGAATTCTTTTCAAATGGCTGGAAGGTCGGTAGGTCGAATATGAAAGTTATACGTAGTAATCATGGTTTTTTTATTGCTCCTTAGTTTCATCAACATAGCCGTTGTTTTGGTCATTTCTCTTGAGAGCCATAAGTGATCCCTCCACAATCTTACGTTAGATATCATATCAAAGACTTAACTCAGGTTTACGGGAATTGCTTTACTATCCTAGAATCGATATCATTGTTGGAAATTTTCGGCGAATGTTGCTCGTGGGAATAGGATTGAAGAGGAAGTAGTAAGGTGTAGAAAACCTGAGTTTGCCGCTCCCTGTTCTCCGTCATGATGTTTGAGAAACACCAATCGGTTATGTGAAGTCTTGCGAGGTACATCGGTTCAGAAATCGCCGGGTTTTGACTGGGGCATAATTGAGATCCAGCCTTCCATTCAGGTACGCTTGCTGCCGGCATAAGATGAACTTATGTAAAGTCCTTAGTCCTTCTTCATTTGCAAAGTAAATACTGGTAGCAACGTGAATCAATATGTAGTTCATGATGAAGCGATAAGATGAAATATTTTGGAAACCTGAGTATTTGTTGGTGACGTCAAGAAAAATACGCTCATCTAAACCAACGCGTTTGTCTGTTACTACGTGCACCTGATAGAGAATGATGTCACTCAGCCCTGTTAACAAGGCCATAAACACAAAAGCTTCTGCTGGAATCCAACCATGAAGTCGATGGTGGAGGATCGAATATGTTGAGAGTACCCTATTTACTGAGTCCAAATACCGGTGAAGCTGGGGTAAGAAGAAATCAGTTAAAGCAGCTGTTATTTCAATAAGGTTGCTCGATTGTGCTAAGATTGAAACCATTATTTCATTTCCTTGTAGACACGTAACTCAGGGTACGTGTAGAGATAGTTGCATATACATCATCAAAGCCTGTAATGTGAATCTAGACGACAGTTATTGCCAATTAATGTCCTGATATGATAATAGTAAGTGTTAGAATCAGTAATATGTATGTTTGAGACGTATCAATAGGCTTCTGGGGTGTTGTTCACCTACTACCTAGGTAACCTCACAATGTTCGGGATTTTCATGTTGGAGTAGAGGGCAACTGCGAGCAAAAGTGTGAGGCGTCTTAGCAAAATGTCGAGAGAATTCCGGAAAAGAGCCCAGAGTCTGGATTCTCTGATTCCCTCAATAGAATGAATCTTGGTTCGACGCCGATTCCTATTTCAGATTCATGTTGGTCATTGAGTAAAGTAGGCAGATCATTAAGTCACTTATCATGGCCTAAAGTGATCCGAGACTATCAAAGGACGTCATGGCGTCTTGCAACAAGCAGTCAAGGAATAATAGCTTCTTAAAGAAGGTATCATGGAAATTCTATGCCCCGGCATCACTAGGCTGAAGAGCTTTATAGGTTCGATGTTTGAATATAACCTCAATATCTAAGATCAGCTGCTTATACTTTCGTCGACGAAGCCAGACATAGTAAGTGCTGGTTTGATTACCAAAGCCTGATGTTTGTATCGGCTCGAACAGCTTTCGAGTGAGTTCATAACCTGAGTAATACTTATTTGATGTCTTAAGGATATTCCGGGTGACTATTCGGATCTCAAAATTGGATATAAATGCATATAAACTTCTAATTCACGCAATCACAATCAATCATAACCGGGGTTATGTAGCTGTTAACAACCCCGTTTAGCGACGATATCACAAAGAAGAATGGGTAATGATGAAAGCTCGATATTCCTTTTCACCTTCTGATACCTCAATCCTGTAAACGCCTTCGCAACATGTATCTCTTGACACTTCCCAAGCCTCAAAGTCACGTGCGTTACCTAATTTGGCTCATGTCGTCCGCGGAGCTATGGGCTGACTGTTCGCCTCGTCTCTCCCTTGCTTCTAGCCGAAGCCCCCACCACAACCAAGAAGTTGCCTGAGGGATTACCGCGACTCAAGGGAGACAATTGATACTCGGACATAAATAACCACTTTTGTCCCTCAGACCACCTCAACTTAACCTATAGTTCCCCAATATATCCTCGCGACTCTGACGGTCCAGACGACTGCGGAATATGCGCTGCCCGTAATGTCAGATCGACGGTTGGGTCCTAGAGAGTCCCAATATCGTTTGAATATTTCAGTTTCATCCAGTGTTCCCATACACAGGCCACCCCTGAAGTCATCGTACATATAGCGATCAATCTCGGCCTCCTCTGAGCTACTCAAGCAATTGCGGAAGTATCTCGCATTCGGAGCTCAAGATGAAGCTCGACGACGACGGGGTAAACAGAATCACTGGTGTTATTGGGTCGCGATACCAACTATATTGAGGTAGACAGCTATTGGTTTCGACTTCACAGCTCAGTTCCCTAGGTCGATTGTTTTCCAGACTTTTCACAGCAAGATTAATGAGGTCTCAAGAGAATAACGCGTCCATCGCCTGTTCCATACTGGAAGAGAGAGTTTCGGTGATAAATCGGTGTCGCCTGGGGGTAGTGTTCTGCAACTTGAGCGGCTTTTTACTTCCACTGCATGTGCAGAGAAAGAGGTCGATACGCCATCAGCAACTACTGGTAAATTAGCAACGGCATACCGCCACTTCCTGTAACTGTGTGCAGAAACCCCGTAAAATGCTGTCTTTTTGACATACTCACGATAGAAAATCAATTCTCGAGCCCATGCAAGAATTATCTCTGAACTTTTACTGTACGTCCGGGAGCCTCAAAGTACCTAGTATTGTCGTCCAATATACCACTAGCATCCTGTCCTTTTTGAAAAGATTTCTTGGATAGATCATTATGGACAAATGCCCGTCTCCGGTCTAAGATTCTTAGTATGTCGTCATCATTAATCGATGAAGAAGTCTTGAAGTGATGAGGGACTGTCCTGCTATGGAAACAAGATATCATATCTACTATCTCGACGCACAAGAGAGGCCACTTGAAGCATCAAGATCTTCCTGCGGGGAGCTCACCGTAGCAAAACCATGAAATGTGACGTTGAATGCTCTATCTTTGAACCGGTTCTAACCCGAGTCCTGTAATAGATCCAGACTCAGCCGACAAAACAATAAACATCGATTACTTCATTCTTTACCTTTGATTTTGTAGCCTCGCGTAAAGTATCTAGTAGCTTGAATGATCTGAGAAACATCTACTCGTCGTTAGTTCATATTCTTAAACAGCAACTAGCTGTGGCTCTCTCTTAGCCCCGTATATTTAAGCATTGAAAACTCAATGAAAGTTAACTCTTCTTGCGTCTCAACAGTGGAATTTGCAGGATGTGTCACAGGTTCTAAGGACATGGAGGTATGGGCTGAGCCCTACCCATCGTATAAAGGGGCTGAGAGCCCAGAACGCCAACCTGCAAATCGCAAAGCGAACAAAAGGGATCAGGCAGTAGGTATGATGGAAAAAGAGTGCCAACTGTCAAAATTGACGACGGGACGTTTTAGCCATCTTCGTGCCTGGTGCCTGAGTTTTCGGAAATGGTGTGAGCTCCCCATTCCTAAGGTCGAGGCAAGGGGTTGGCTTAGGAATCCTCATGGAGACTTCATGTAATAAAAGGGTGTTGCAAGGGAGAATGATTGTGGTTCCCGTCGACTCTCTTAGTCCCAATCAAAATTTCACACCTTATTCGAGGCGACTAGTCCTACAGTAGCAGCCCCTTAGACTACTCGAAGATTTGGGCCATGACCCAAGTTGCCAACCCCCTCTAACAGCCTCGCCAGCACACCTAGATTCAGTGCATGTGTCGGAGAAGAAAGCAATGTGATCCATCGGTCAATATATAAGCATGAACACTGCGTCTTT